GGTGTTTCTATGAGTGGTCGAGAATTGACGAATTCCCTTTTCTTTTTAATTCATTTTCGTTGCTTCGTGTATATACACATAACAACACAAGATCATGATGTCGTTGAAATTGGGATGACTTAAATTCCGTAACAAAATAAGTACAAAATGACCTTACTCAGACTTCATTTGTGATTTGAATTTAGTCGCTCTGTCTCAAAGTTATTGTCCAGTTTGGGTTCTCGTTTTTAGTTTAAATTGAACTGAAATGTACAAATTCAAACTAGACAATAATTTTTGAGACAGAGCGAGTATTAATTAGCATAGATCGGTTCGTTTCATCTCTTCCACTTGTTTCTAAAACTACATGTATAATATAGTAAAGCAATAATATTGGACATGAATGTGGTGCTAGGTCTTTCTCCCTACTTGTCTCTGCATGTTACTCTCTCCGCAATTGTTCTCCTCTTGAAAATTTGGTACCATTGGTTGTTGAGTTTTGAATCCAAAATTACCACAATAATTCAGTTGGTCTCTGCCATTTTCTCCACTGTACTTTTTTTTTTTTTTCCTGTACATAAGAATGTGGGCCAAACCTGATTGTAAAATTTTCTAATAATAGATCTCTTATTAAAGATTAGTGACTAATTAATCAGGAAGACTTCATTTTTATTTTGTTCATCATGATTGGATCCTAGTACGTTAACGACTGTTGACAGTTTGACTAAAATAAGCCGAATGAAAGATTCATATCCGCCACTGCTCTATGAATGGTCTAATTTTCTATAGTAATCAACTTTGTTTTTTTCCTCCCAACTGTTGCAATATAGTATCTGTAATCTTCTTCTGTTTCTGAATGTTAACGTTGTTATAAGGGACGGTCTACATATATAAACCTAGGCATGTGATCAAATTATAAGCTAAATGTGTAGTCTCAACTCTCAAACATCCCAAGAGGGTCCTATATGGTACGGTAGGTAGGTTACTCTGTAGGGAAGAGATGTTTGTGTTTCTCAACCAGAAATATCTACCATGTCTCAAAATTATTGTACAGTTTGAGATTTCAATTTTATTACAATTTGAACTAGAAATAAAAACTCATACTGAACAATAATTATGGGACCGAGGAAATACAACTTATTTATTTCTCCACCAGTATATTTACTACTTATTGTATTTATAATTTATTTATCTTTTATTTGGGTTCTTTTTCTAGTAAATAGTTACATACTATAGTATGGAATATATTCCAAATTTTCTGGCCATATGTCACTTGTCGGATACCAACGTCTTTCTTCCTTCGAATCTACTTCATGTGTACTATCATCCAAATTCCAAATCACCCAACAAGCCTGTATACTAGCTAGTTTTGATGGGACAAATAAATTTCGGTATTGAAATATTTTTAACTTATTTAACCAATAATCTCAAATGTCCATTTGTTTACGGTTCAGTCCAAAATTTTTTTTAGATATTTTCACCGTTATATGGAGAAAGAAAATATTTTCATGTTTAAATAATACTGTTTTTGACATGCTACTTGTGTGGTAATAAAATGAAAATCTGGGTGGAATATTTGCTATTCACCTGAAACTATAAGTACGTACTTAAGTACTGCTAGGAAAAAAAAAATAAAAATGTACAACTGGTTGTACGGAAGAATCAATCGTCCATATTCTTCTATCTCCACATCAATACAAAGAGACACAATAACCAATTTTGCCAGAAACTGAAAAATATCACATTCAACCCAGCAATCTTCAAAAATACTAAAAGCTCTTGAAACGCAACAATCCATCGTCTCAATCAGTCCAATGAACTATAATGCAGATGAAATATTGAATAATACTCATGAAATTATACGCCATTTTGTTTGAGTCAACAAGTTAATTATCTCTACGATTATTTTATTTTATTTTATTAGTTGAATAATTAGTGAACAGAATAGTAGAAACCAAACAAGAAGAGAGAATATTCCAATGGTATTAAACTGATTCAGCATTAATTTATATACCCCCAAAAAAAAAAAAAAAAAAGAAGCGGAAGAGTGATGAATTAATAAAAATGATTAGATGGGGCTGGTGATCTTCAAGGGCCCCATATCATATCTTGACTAAGGGTCCCAATCCCAAAATGTTTATATAACAATATTGTTGTACTCGGCAGTATAATTAACCTGGAAGTAGTATGCTTGGCACATGCATGATGAGTCATTATTAATTATATGTATGTATATTGAACTTAATTCTACGGACTCCAAAATACGTACTTATTAAATGGAATCCAATGATGAGATTTAGAAATTTGATTCAGAGTGTTTATATTCTCACATGGCGTTAGGATTGCCTTTTGCTTTCATTTGCCAACTGAAACTGTCACTGGCCTTCTTTCTTTATTTTCATTTTGTATTTATTTAAATTTTCATGCCACACTTCACGCTAGGTCGTATCTGTTTTAAAGAAAGAGAGATCAAGAGCTCGACAACCAAATTGATTTCAAGGGTTTAGGTTCAGTGGAGCAATTTCTCAGCTAACCAGATTTTCTGTCCAAATTTGTATTGTCGTCTACGTACCATTTGTATGTTTTCGATGCGTCAATTGTAATTACTTAAACACCAATCCACACTGCTTCTATATATTTCTTAATTGGTATTTACCCGTTTATAATGTTTAATAAAGATTCTTATTTCAACCAGCAAAAAGATTGTATCACCTCCCACAGAAGCAAAATCAAATCTTATTTGACAGTGTCATATATGGGTTAGAAATGTGTCTTTTTAGCGATTATAAATTGCATTCTGCATGACAGACAAGACATGATCTTAGCATATGAACCAACACTATACATCTATATCTTTCTCCTGCCTGTTCTATGTTGGGGTTGGCCCTAATCATCCATTTAACTAAGAGGTTTCATGTTACGATGATGATCTGATCGATGGTGTCACTTCGGCTTCGTGTTAGAAGTTCAACTCCGTATATGTAGTCTAATTTTGACAATATCCCCTCAAATTTGACTCTTATCATTATAATGGAAATACAATTTTCTTCCTAAACGGAACAAATATATAATTGTTTTAGTACAACAAAAAGGATACATGACTTACATAACTTATGAAATTGCCTTACGTGAATAAGTAACTCATATTACATCATGCTCAATACATAATTTGACGGCTTGCGGCAAATCAACAAGTCATTGTAGCCCTCCCATACTAATAGTGCAATTTACGCGTATTTTTTAATTCATATTGTACTCAATGTTCAAAATTGGTACCTGGATAATCTTACTCTAACCGTTTCTGCAAGTGATGCATTCAACTTTTGATCCGATTCCAACTATTGCTTACTCTAATAAACATTTTATATTTGAAATGATTACGTACAGAAGTACAGGTAGAAGGTTTTAATGATTTAATAAATAAGGTTGATGTGATGTTCATAACTTTGAGCTGCCAACTTTCTTCCCAAATCGATTCCATCCAAAAAACTTAAAACGAAAGAATTCCGCCTACAATTTCGCTCGAGATGCATGTGAAATGAGCCATATCGGGGACCAAGTCAAATAGTAGAGAAGACTACACAGAAAGGTCATGGACTTTCATGTTGTATTGTGGGCTTTGATGGAACTGTGATGGGCCCGCCAGCCCTCTTCTCCTCTCAAATCCGTAGTACTCAAAAAGGTCCATCAAAATTAGCTGGCAAAGCATTATTATCTTATCTTTCAATTCCAATTTTTTCTCTGTTGTATGTCCCACAAGACCCCCTTAATTCGCCTAATCATTGTATTTTTAATTCTTTATTTTAAGCATTGCCTGCTGCATAAGTAATCTTTGATAAGGACGTTAGGATTTGGAGTACAAAAGTAATCTTCATCAAGTACGTACGTTTTGTTCGATCAAGTAATTAATTAAAAAAACAAACCAAGACAAAAACCCAAAAAGGGGTACCATAACGAGTTATTTTTACTTCTGTTTTAGGGCCCCAAAGCCATAATTGACAGAGCTTCACCTTCACAAATTGTTTTCACTTTGTGAATTGATGATTAATATATTCCCTGCGTCCAAAATTTTTTTTTTTTTTTTTTACGAAAAAGGAGGCAAAAGTCTAAATTCTTAAAAATTATCCATTTCTAACTAGGAAGTAGGAATCGAACTCGTCGCTTTCTAAGATATTTCTAAGAAATGTGTATTTTCTCAAAGCCTAGATTTTCTTTTTATCCCGCTTGAATTATCATTTTAGTACAAATTAAACTAAAATTAAAAATTCAAAAGCAGTACTATTGAGCAAATTCTATGTAAATGTTAGTTGAATTTAGGCCCAACTAGTTAGTTGTATTTTTTGGGCCTCATGCTTCTTCTCAAACTTGCATCCATTAGACGATTCATTAGTATGATATATTTTTTACGTACTAAAATTATTTTTTCAGTTTAAATTTTCAATTTTAATTCAATTTTTATTAAAAATAAAAATTCAAAATGTCGAAAAATATAATACCAACATAACAAATTTGAATCCAAACGACAAATAGAATTACAGTAGAAAGCGACGAGTTCGATTCCTAGTTAGCTTTGAGAAAATGTCTACCAAGCATGAAATGAAATGAAACAATTGCTTTCACGTTTATGATAATAAAAAAACTAGAAGATTTATTTACCCAAAAAAAATTTAAAAGAAGAAGATTCAAAATCGTTAATAGCAACTTGGAAAATTACTGTCCCAAAATCCCAATCTCTCTCAATCTAATCGATGAAAAAGATAAGCCAATAAAATCAAAGCGCATTATAGGTTGAAGAATATGATGGATGAACCATTCCCAGTTTCTTTCTCTTGTAGCTTTTCTATACAGTCAGGCAGCGCCGTAGCTTTTTCAGCTTCGATGAATAATATAAAGTTAAAAATCGACAAAACCATATCTTATCTTCGTTCGATTCAACTTTAACTTTTTAGACCGAATTGAAAACACAAAGAAAAAATAAAAATAAAATAAAGTTAGAAAAAAGACAAAGGAATTGAGTCATTCTCAAGAACAACTAAAATCAAAATATGTATCAATAATTATTCCACCTTCCATTATCGCAAATTACAATCAAATCATGATGCTTCTTCTCCTGAACTTGAAAAAAAATATTACAAGAGATGATTTTTTGCAGCATATAGCTAATTCAACTCGGGATGACTCAGTCAGTTGAGTTTTTACTAATAAACACCTCAATTTTTGCCATCTCCATAATTTTCCCTTCTTCTTTTCTATAAAAGAAAAAAAAAAGGGAAAAAAAAAAACAGAACTACTACTACTTCTTCTAATGCTAGAAAAATCTAGACAGCCCAGAAAAGTCAAAGAAAGAAATTTTTTTTTTTTTTGGGGGTCTAACCCAAAAAATATTTAAAATGAAAAAAAAGGAGGGGTTAGCGCGGCGGGGGGAGCGGAATTGAATGAAACGACGGACAACTCGAGCGGGTCGACTCATTGAGACCCGGCTCCGCCAATTAACGGCCGAGATTCGGTGAATTGGTAATCCAGATGATGATTAATTCTGCGACGTCGTTCGAGGCTGCAGCTCTGGAACTCATCGAAACTCACATGCTGGAGCACCGCCGCCGACGAGGAGGATTCGCCGTGGCTCTTCGAATCGGCCAGCGAAACAAATCGGAGAGCCTCCTCAAACACCGACACGTCACACGGAATCATGAGCGGACCTTGATGCGCGAACCCGTATTCCTCCTCCGCTTCCACCAAGAGCCTCTTAAACACTGGGTGGTTCAGGTACCTAGCCGGAACGACAAACCGTCTCCGGGAACTGGTGCCAATCCCGACGTTGATAGCCACGTGGCCGGAAGGGACATCCGGCGGTAACGACGACGAAAGAGCTGCTTTTTTGCGCCAGCGACAAAGCATCTGCCGAATCCTCACAATGCGGCTGATCTTGCTGCTGATTGCGTTTCCCGGAGACATGTTTTCCGAGAACGCTATGGGCTGAACGACGCCGTAGTAGGGTGGCGTAATACTGGGGAAAATGGAAGATAGAGAGAGAGGGAAGGAGGGGAACCGGTGGGTGAGGGGAGAAGATATATTAGTTAGTGAGGATTTGCTGTAATTTGTTGGAAAATCTAAGCTTAATTATGCCTCTAGTTACTAGCAATTAGAGCTCCCATACAGTCTAACCAAATGACGTTCCCACCCCTGGCACAACACTAATTTATTCCCGAGGCAAGTATTTAAATATTTATATATTACTTCTTCCGTCTCAAATTATTTTTTTTAATTTATAATAATTTAAATTAAAAATAAAAATTCAAGTTGGACAATAATTTAAAATAAAAGAAATATGAATTTTTTTTAATTTTGAAATTTGAGAGAACCAGACTATTTTTAAGACCAGAATAGTCTTAAATATATTGTACGAACGGAAGATATAATTTGAAAATAAATAAAGACTTAGTTCATAATAGTATAATAAAAAAATCTCAAGAATTTGTGTTCTATGAATAACCTATTACTACTAATTTTATACACATTAAAATATTTGTACTTTTAAATAAGGTCATGAAAATTTAAGGTTGAAAAGGTGAGAAAGGAAACCAAAAAATAAATAAATAAAGAATAAAGAAAATTCTCAAGAAAATAAGAACTCACGTGCCCCGTTTTAATAGTTTGTTAATTTTTTAAATGAGCCTTGAGATATTCCTTGTTTATTGGGATTTGCTTATTTCAAGAGATGTCGTCAAGCATGGAAGGTTAGAATGGGCAATATGCGTTAGAAACATTGGCACTGCGAATTTGGTAAGAAGCATCAGGTCAGCTCAGGAAAATGAGCGCTCAGCTGAATAAGTACTGCCTTGTATTCTCTAGATTTTTGGCCATAACATTTTTCCTTTCATTCTTTTGTGTGAAAGGAAAAAAAAAGAAAGAGGATTAATTGCATAAATAAAGTAGAGCTAATTATGTGATTATTAGAATGTGACTGGTAACAGACTATACATTCATGTGAACAAAATGTTCGAAAATGGTGAGTGATTTATTCCACTTTCTATAAATTAATCTCCCCTAATCTTTGGTCTCATAGATTATAATATACTGTTAGTGTCCAATCATTGCACTAAATCACAGTCAAAACGCATTATATGACCCTGTTGACATGGTTCTTTTTTATTTCTTTAATTGAATATAAGTATCTATCGTAATTAACAATGATTTATCTTTCGTCGAATTATAAACATCTTAATAAATGAAATGATTCTCTAAAAAAAATTAAACCTCTTTTATGTCGATAAATGAGTCATTTTCACTCAATTACAACTCTCTTGTGGTTGATGGAATTATTTCTTAAGTTCAAAAAATTAAGGAAAAAAAAGCACAAAAAGTTAAGGGTGTGTTTGTTTAGTTTTTTTAATATGTGTTTTTAGATTTTTTGTATTGAAAATATAAAAACGTGTATTAAAAATGTAAAAAATTATGTTGGGATGTGACAGTTATTATTTAAAGACGTAGTACTCTGCGTACGATACTGATCAAAATGATTAATCAAATTTTGTGGCGTACGTCCTTTTGCGTCTAAGGCTGACAAAAAGCCCTGCTTAATGAATGAATCTAGGCATTTGTTTATTGATGAAAGCAAATTCGTCATTCAAAAGTACAAAATTTTTTATGTATTTTTTCACCTGAAATTGGAACCAAAGGAAATCCCACTAGTACAAAAGGTATCCAGTTCAATAATCAAATCTCAGTGCACCACCATGGCCTCTATTCAATGATTCGGTCATATGCACCATCTTCAGGAACCATTTCTTTACTGCCTTCTTGTTTTCATGGGCTCACTTTGAAATTACTAGGACTATGACAGTACGTTGTGCAGATTTTATTATATTTTTTTGATACAAAGATTTTATTATATTTTAGAGTAACATTAATATACTATTATTTTCCTATAAAAAGTGTTAGTTGTTTTAGTTTTTCTGTTTTTGTTTTTTTTTGGTATATTAAGAATTCAGAGTCCAAATTCAAGTATCATGTATATATTTTTTCCTTTTTTGGTATATAGTTCATCCGGTGTTTGAAATCATTATTCTAACTAATCCGTCTTCGAGTCGGATAGGTCACTTTTGGAATACAAACCTCTTCCAACAATTGTTATTACATGCACATAGACAGATTTAATCATGGATTGTAGTTAATTTGGTCCAATACTATTACCACTTTGATCAAGTACTTCTTAGCCATATAGGATATTTTAAAATATAAATTAATATATTCAACTATCTAATATTCTTCTTGTTTAGCAGGGATAGTGTATCAAAAAAAAAAAATTCTAAATACAAATTAATATGATCAATTATCTACTATCCTACTTTTTAGGGATATAAGTATATAAAGTCATTTTCAACAAAAAAAAATTAAATCATGTATATTCTTAAAATATATTGACTGAAAAGCATATATTATTTATTTGTAGTAATTGAATCAAATATTATAAATAATCTTTTTTTAGGCATAACGCAAAAAAAAAAAAAAGAAAACTCCAACAAAAGTAAATAAAGCACAAAAAATATGGAGGAAAACCATGACAAAAAAAAAAAAACTAATAAATAATTTTGAAATACTCATCCACACTCTAAAAATTTTTTCTTAGTTTTTTGTAATAACAGAATAGGATGTGCCTGGCGGGTACAGGAGCATTTTATTTATCTGGACTCATAACTTTTTCTTTAGTTAAGAAATTAAACTCTTTTTATTTTTGAAAAATATATCAAATGAAATTGTTTAAAAAATAATATTAGCATATATATGATGTATCTAAACTTGATTTCAAATTGTATTCGTAATATAATGATTTGCCAACTAATCTTTATATTTTTTATAACTATTTTTTTATTTTTGAAAAATATATCAAATGAAATCATTTAAAATGATATTATATTAATGTATCTAGACTTAGTTTTGAATTGTATTCGTAATGTAATGATTCGTTAACTAATCTCTTTAGTTTTGTAATTAATCTCTTTTTATTTTTGAAAATATATCAAATAAAATGTTTTGAGAAATAATATTAATCTATATTTAATGAATCCAGACTTTATTTTCAAATTGTATTGATAATATAATTATTTGTAACTAATTTCCTTTTATTTTTTTAAATTGATCTCCTTTTGTTTTTTGAAAAATATATTAAATCGAATCATCTGTAAAATAGTATTAACCTATCTTACATGTATACAGACTTGGTTTCGAATTGTATTTCTAGTATAATTATTAAGTAACTAATCTCTTTTTATTTTTGAAAAATATATCAAATGGAATAATCTGAAAAAAATAATATGAACATATGTTTAATTTATCCAGACTTAGTTTCGAATTTTATTCGCAGTATAATTATTTGGTAACAAATATATTTTTCTGTTATTGGTATCTAATCTATTTTTATTTTTGGAAAATATATCAAATAGAATCATCAGAAAATATTACCAATTTATGTTTAATGTTTCTATACTTAATTTTGAATTGTACTCGTATAATTATTTGGTGAATAATCTCTTCATTTTGGTAATTTGTCTCTTTTTATTTATGAAAAATATATCAATCATCTAAGAAATAATATTAATATACTTGTAATGTAGGTAAACTTGGTTTCAAATTGTATTCGTAATATAGTTATTTAGTAATAATTTTTTTTTTGGTAACTAATATCTTTTAATTTTTGGAAAATATATCAAACAGAATTATCTGAAAAGTAATATTAACTTATGTTTAATGTATCCATGCTTAGTTTCAAAATCTATTCTTAATACAATTATTAATTTGATGATTAATGTTTTCTTATGTCATATATTAATCAATAATTACTAAAAAGGTGTTTATTTTTCTGAAATTAACTATTGATTAATTGCTTAGTTCAATTTAACAATTTTACGTATTAGTAATAAAGTTTTAACTGTTTAATGAATGAGAACTTTGGCAATGACACGCGGCATAACTGGCTAAAATTGTTCCCTGGACGACACGTGTCGATTAAGTTTCGAATTGTATTTGTAGTATAATTATTTAGTAACTAATCTCTTTTTATTTTTGAAAAATATATCAAATGGAATAATTTGAAAAAATAATATGAATATATGTTTAATTTATCCAAAATTAGTTTTGTATTGTATTCCCAGCATAATTATTTGGTAACAAATATATTTTTTTGTTATTGGTAACTAATCTATTTTTATTTTTGAAAAATATATCAAATAGAATCATCAAAAAAATTATCAACTTGTGTTTAATGTATCCAGACTTAATTTTAAAATGTACTCGTATAATTATTTGGTAAATTAATCTCTTCGTTTTGGTAAGTAGTATCTTTTTTACTTATGAAAAATATACCAGTAATCTAAGAAATAATATTAATATACTTGTAATGTAGGTATACTTGGGTTCGAATTGTATTCGTAATATAGTTATTTGGTAATAATTTTTTTGTAACTAATATATTTTAATATTTGGAAAATATATCTAACAGAATCATCTGAAAAATAATATTAACTTACATTTAATGTATCCAAACTTAGTTTCAAACTTATTCTTTATACAATTATTAATTTGATGATTAATATTTTCTTATGTCATATATTTATCAATAATTACCAAACACGTGTTTATTTTTCTGAAATTAATTACTTAATTCAATTTAATAATTTTACGTATTAGTAATAAACTTTTAATTTTTTAATGAAAGAAAATTTTGGTGATGACACGTGGCACAATTGTCTAAACTTGCTCCCTAGGCGACATGTGTCGATTATGAACTCTGTTTTAATCTATATATATAATAATAGATTCTATTGTACTTTTTAGTGCTCATGCTTATTACTATCATCGCTGTAAAAAAAAATTAGTTCATTTTGCATTTTGAATCTTGTACTATTTTTTATATATATATTTCAAAATTCAATGTATATTATTTTTTTCGGGATAGAAGAAGTATTATTTTTTTTGGTGTTACATAGAGTTTACTATGGACTCAAATATGTTACTAATCCATTTGCTAAATTATAAACATTTTAATGAGCATAACAACTGGATAAAAGATTTAACTCTTACCATATTTTAACAAAAATCGAACTCCTGACTTAGTGGGAAAAAAATCTCTCAAACGGACTCTTATCCGTGCTGTCGCTCCTCATCAAGTTATATGATAATTGGTAACGTCTGGGCCCTTGAAACTTTGAAGCCCCCAAATCGCATTTTTCTGGCCCAAATGATTAAAGGCTCCAATAATTCTATAAAAGTGTCTGGGCCCTTGAAACTTTGAAGCCCAAAATAGTTGGGCTCTGAAACATTTTTACAACAATTGTAGAAGGCCCAAATAATAAACCGAGAGTGTGTAGTTCTATGACAAAATTATCCCCAGACCAATTATGAATGATGATTAAGCAGAAGAAGATATTCCGGTTTCTTCCCTCCAATCCTTAAAAACCCCAGTCAACTTTTCACTGCTTCTCCGTTGTGCTATTCTTAACCTGAATTATCCGTAAATGCCTGACCTTCTGTTTCACCAATCTCCGGCCACAATCACTACAACATGTCTAATCAGGAGCTCTTTCTATTCTGACCTAAGATTAAAATTAGCTTCGGTTCCGTCCCGTCAATTCATCGCCACCGCGCCGTCGTGGCCGCAACAATTTGCTGCCGGCGATAGAAGTAGCTGCCGGAAATGTAGGGTGGTGAAGTGTATGGCGAATCCGCGGAGAGTCAAAATGGTGGCTAATCAAATCAGGAGGGAGATTTCGGACATGTTGTTAACCGATAAGGTTTTGCAGTATGCGGTCTTGCCTGAAGCTGCCTTAGGCGCCGACCGTTATCTTTCGTCGCTCACCACTATTAGTGACGTTGAAGTCTCCGCTGATTTGCAGGTTTTTTTTTTTTTTTTTGAAACTGTCTTTTTTCCTAGTTCCTACAGGTGATTTTGAGTTATTGATTGTGCTGATAATGTACAATAGTTTATGCAAATGATTCCAGAATTTCTGCATAGCGATATATTCGTCATTTTGCCTAATTTTACGTAGCAATACCCAGTCCCTCTCTTTATTCTTACAAGCTAATCAAGTGTTTCTTAAAGGTTTACACAGTTTATGTTAGAATTTATATGATTTGCTTGAAAAACTAAGTATAATGCAACGTTATTAGTACGCACAAATTGGAGAAAGTCTTAAATTACTATCACCTTTGAAGTACAACTGTAATTTCAGTGATACCTTCAATCAAGCTGCAAATGTAATACTCTCTTTCACGCAATGAGGACATTGTAAAAGGCATCGGTGACAATGCTAGTCGGTATCACTGTATAATAGTTATGCACAAATCTTTTTAATAATTTATATTGGGCGTTTACTGCTAGTACTTTAATGATATTCTTACTAACTTGCACGCAAGCATATTTAAACTTTCGTAACCTAAACAAGGCTCCATCCTGGGTATGCATTGTGATAGTCGCATAAGTTACGCTTGTGTTCTCATCCGGTGTACTCCTCTCTGAGTTTGGGCCTACAGTCAAGATAGGATGAGTCCGAGGACGACCAGGGTTGGAGCCTACTAACTATGGGACACAATTGATCGGGCTAATTGAGATATTAAAGAAAATGTAAATCAGAACCTTTTCCTGGAACAAAGAAATGTCTAGAACCATGACTCTTTTGGTGCATTGTTGTTGCTGATTATCTGGTGACTGCAGATATTGTACAAACTTAGGGTATGATGTCCTTCACCACCTTATCAAATTGAATGAAATTCATTTGAAAAAAGTGTGTTAATTTTTAAGAATCCTTTTCTCAGGCTAAATGATTCAGTGTTCTTTAGCTTAGTACATTTACACGTTTTCTGTCCTTTGGAATGACAATATGTGAACATTGTTGCTCTCTCTCTATCGTTCCACTGGGTATGGATTTTTATCTATCTTTTTTCTACCATGACTATTCCTACTTTGGGGTCATTTAATATTAGGATCGTTGGTGACTCTTACTTGTATGCTATCGTCGCATGCCAGCTAAGAAATGCTATTTTTGTTGGTGCTTTCTTGATATCGGAAAAGAATTCAGCTTTTTCTGTAAAGCTATTAAGAACATTCGCGGCCTTATTTTCTCAAGGTGCATCTCTTTTAGGTTGTGAAAGTCTATGTGTCTGTCTTTGGCGATGAAAGAGGAAAGGAGGTTGCAATCTCTGGATTGAAATCAAAAGCAAAATATGTCCGGAGTGAGCTGGGAAGGCGCATGAAACTGAGGCTGACCCCCGAGATTCGTTTTTTTGAAGACGAGTCTCAAGAGCGAGGAAGCAGGGTAAGAATCTCGCTGTTCCTTTAACTTCTCTTTCTGTATGTTTATCTCAACATGCTGTAGTTATCTCCAGACTAAGTAGTTCCTTCGTAGAAAATGTATCTCAGAAGATATATTAGATCCCGTTGACTCTACAAAGAGTATCTTGTGTATTGGTGTTTGGCTGTTTACTCGCACGAACGCTGGCAAAAAACAAAAGAGAAAGAGAAAAGGCCGAGATGTGTTTTGAAAAGGATGGGGAAAGACGCCTCTGATATTTGCGGTTGAGTTAGGATAAGTTTCCGTTCAAAATAACACGCACAAGGCCATCTCACTTTGTGATGCTGAAAGTAAATGCTTTTAAGGAGCACTTTGAATGTGACTATAATAGTTTCGAGTTCATATAAGCAGGCCAAGGGCATCAGCTCAGTTAATTTGTATCTGTTATACTCTTAATTCATAAAGCTGATACAGAAAATTCCCTGAAAACTAATCGAATGCTTGTTTGCTGTTCATGCAATGATAATCAAGCTGTCTTTTCTTGCGCTTATAGTAGTGGATCATTTGCCTGATTTTAAAAGCTATGCTGGTTTCTTTGTAGGTTATTGCGATATTAGACAAACTGAAGCAAGAGAACGAGGAAAAGCAAGCAAGATTTCAAGGGAATGATAAAAAAGATGAAGATGGCGAAGACTGGGCTGATGATGGTGATGACCCCAGTGACGATGGAATTATTTATGTCGACTAGAAAATTTTCGATACCATTTAAGTAGGGGTCATCTTCAGAATTGAGCCGGGATTCACTTGTTAGCAGGCTATATAGAGTAGTAACAAGCAAAACTACATTTCCTTTTGCTGCTGCAACGTGGTCTTTTGTCCTACTTTTCTGTAAGCTTTCCTTCCATTGCAATGTAGGAAGGCATTCCCTCTCTGTTGTCACAATTAAGCAGTGTGTAAATAACTTTACTCCAGCAGTTTTACTTTCCATCACGCAGCTGCTTAACTTAGGATGGAATTTAGAAAGAACACTAGATACCTAATGTGGCACTTAAGGGATAACAAGTCATTTTACTTGCATTTCTATAAAAAAGCAGAAATAATTTAGCGGACAATATATTCAACAATAGGAGCAATCAAATTTTGAGCAACTCATTAAACATGTAGTCCAATAACTGGTGAAAATTTAACCATCACAACAATGGTTGAAGCTAAAATCTAGTGACATTAATCAAAACCGAAGTAATAGCAGTTGCAATTACAAAGGATCCAATGAATGAACATCCACATCATTATATCATCATTATTATTTTTGCCTGCAAGCTAAAAGGAAAACTCTTTGCTTCAGTGATGTGCCTTGGCTTCGGCCTTCTGATGAGATTTGGCCTTTGCCTACATAACAAAATAAGGTAGGGAATCAGCAAAGAGATTGAAAGATAAGGTGTTGATTTGTGCCTAGAAACGAGAAAATCAGCAAATGATACAGAATTTTTCATTTAAGAAGATGAGGTGTGATTAAATAGAACCTGTGAAAGACGATTCAAGTTTTCAAACAGGTTGAAGAAACTACATAATATGCAACTTCCAGCTATAACAAATAATTCATTAAACTGCACTTAGTATCCCGTAAAGCTCACGGAAAACCTCAAGCCGTGTACCACTCCTCTCCCACAGACAACCCCCAGAAAAGCTCAAGTTGAGTGTGTAAAACTTTGTGTATGGAGCGCATTGCTGCTGTGCTTGGAAGAACAGAAAGCTACTTTATCTAAGTACAAGCACAGACAATATTCTATATTATGCAGTTCAGTTGTAAGAGCTTATATCATCCATGAAAAAAAAAAAAAAACTACAAATGCTTATTATCAGCCTGAATGAATACCAAACACCCCTGGAGCTAACAAGGTGACCAAAACTTCTACTCCCTCCATCCCATAATTATTGACCAGTTTGGATTTTCATATTTAGTTCAAATTGTACTAAAAGTGAAATCTCAAACTGGACAATAATTTTGGGACAGAGGGAGTAATTATTATTACTATATTTTTTTAAAAAAATACAAGAATAAAAGGCAGGAAATTAACTCACAGCAACAAGCTTGAAATTTGAAACTGCAGAACAAAGTATGGTCCAAATTGATTATATGACAGATACAAGACCTATATTCCAAAGCTTTAGCAGTCTACTGCTCACCACATTTCGAATTTTCATTTCCAAGCAGCACATTTCTCTTGTCTTTTAACATTTCTCTACAGCTTCTTGAATTCCAATTCGAAAGTCCCAAGGCAAACTCAAAATAAAAGCTTGTCCAAACTAACCAGTTTGCCAGACCAATTCAACATTCCAAAAATTGCATTTTCGGGTGTTACCACACACGAAGCCAGCAGAGAGAAAAAAAAAAAAACAAAAGACAAATAAAACTGGAACTCAGAAACCAGATCTGCCTATACAACCCAAATACAATTCCCAATTCCAAACCCATACAGCTCCGACAATTGAAAAAAAAAGTATTGAAATTATGGCGAAACGAGCAACTACAAGTCAACATTTTTTTCGCATAAAATAAATTAAACAAAAAAAAAAAAATCAAAAGGCAAAGGGGAAAAATCTTAGAAAAGTACCCGAAGATATTTAAGCTTGATGCTCCCGTAAACGGCTCCGACAGTGAAAGCAGAAACACGAGCCACCTGTCACCAACAATTCGCAAATGAGCAAAACCAAAAAATTCCCTTCCAGTAGGACATAATATCTACTAATTTGAAAGGCGATTGGGGTTTATTAAGAGGGGAGCTGAAAAAGAAGAGTTTACCAGGGCGAGGGTGCTGGTGCCGGAGTAGGGTCCAGGAGGAGGTGCCATTGCTGTTCGGTGATGTTGATTTAGGTACGGCAGCCGGAGATCGCTTTGCCCTAAATTTCTCTCCGACGACTGACTGAAACGATGTGGGTCTTTGGAAAAGAGGTTTTGTTCTTTATTTGCCGGCTGTGATAATGCGATCAGGTTCGTAGATGTTAGACCAAATAGCACGACGTCGTAATGGGCTGGAGTCTGGACACCAGAAGCTCGGCCCAAAGGCCAAAAACTTTCTTTTGGGGCCCTTTATGAAATTGCTGCAATTTCCCAAGGGTTTAGGTAAATTATCAATCAACCACCGAAGATTCTGAAAATTACCGATGTTCACACTCCGTAATCTAATACTCCCTCCGTCTTCGAATTATTAAATTCTGTAATCATTCCGGATGAAGGAAGTATTTGTTTGGAAAAGTTTTCAAGACTGATGGACAACCGTATACATTCCCCTACAAAAAACCTTTCAATCATCAGCAACGGAACGTGCTCTTTTCTTTCGTTTTTTTAAAATATTTGAGAAATTAGGATCTCGATATTACATATTCATCATATCAACTTTGAATATACTAATAGCTTGTAAACAAGAGAGAGTCATGTTTTAACAATTAGCACCGCCACATCTGTTACATACTTTACAATTTTTTTCATGTCTCCAGAGAAAAAAAAATATAAAGTCTGAAATCTTTTTATGGGGAATTTTAAACGATGGATATGGATTGGACCAGCCAGGGTTAGGGACTTAGAAATTTGGGATTCACAGTTTTGAGAGAGAAGGGTGTTCCTTGAGTGAGTTGCGTCCTCCATATATTTGTTAGCCAATTCCTTTGGCCCATAAGACTTTGGGGCTCACTTTCACAAAGTGCGCAATATCTCACATTTATGTAAATTGGGCAATTCAGGATTTTAAGTTCTTATCACATCGAGATTCCACCTCATTTCAAGATTCTGGAAAAGGACCGAAATGCCCACTTGACTTGGATACTACAATTTGCCAGATTCTGGATGCATGCAGATGTTGTCCCAACCTGAAGTTAAATTGCTTCTTCCATCTTTGGCAAATTTGCTTCTTGACAAGCACCTTTCGCTTGTTTGATTGTCTCTATTCAATTCATGTCTTGAGAGGAAAACAGCTAAAAGATACAACTTACAATGTCGTCGATAACTATTCTCTCAAATAATTGTTCATATTTCAAAAAATGTTATTTCTAATAACGTTAAGTAATCATAATGTATTTTTGAACGTTAAAAATAATTAGAATTCAATCAGTTTTACTAATCATTCATATAGTTATTTGTTCTTTAACAAAGACATCAATTGCAGAAGATACATAGCTGCAAGCATTGATATGTATTCAGTTTCAGAATGTAATGTCATTACCTAATGACCATCTTTAGCCGAAAGCAAACTTAATCAATCATAAGCTTCGAACTCCAATGAACAACGAATAAAAATTATACTATTGCGTACTAAAAGAAAAATTAAATAGGACAACCAACGTTTCCTTTCCTCCACTTAGCTTCGGAGCTCGATGTTTGGCTTTTACCAGAGTGAGCATTTCATTTTCTTTTCTTAAACCAATTTTTAGTTTCATAATTAGCAATTAAGCCCCCTTTCCATTTTAATACAAAATCACAAGCTCTTTCATTGTCACTGAATAAAGGATTATCGAGGAGTATATAATATTTTGTAACTGATACAAAAATGCGATTAATCATCATCATTAAAGTTATTACTGGTTTCAATAATCATCTTTTTAATGTACATCAAATAACTTATAATCATCAAGCACTACTACTGGTACTAAATTTAGTCAGCCGGAATCGGTCCCCACCTTGGTCTTTTAATGAAATTTTTCCGCCAAAATCCACCAATAGATTAGCGTCTCCCACCGTAATTTCTTGCGCCCTCCATCAGCGTAGCCTAACTCCATTAGGATTCTTTCCTGGCTCGGATTCTCTCCCACAAACAAAAAGGACCAAAAACCTAGCCGTAACCCTTTGGCTATTAGCAATAGCCCCACCTTCGATCCCCCTCTATTTTACTGTATCCATGGCCGCCGCCGCCTCATTCGTCGCCACCACTACCGCCGCCGCCGCCGGTGCAGCTGCTTCAGCTTCCTCTAAGCTGTCTCCGTTATCCGTTGCTGATGAAAAGCCCAACTCATTTTCACCCTTCCCCAAAACCCTCCGAAAACCCTGCAACCTAGGCATTCAGAAGCGCTGCCTGACGACGGCGGCTTCCAAGAACCCTATTTCCGATGTGGGTTCTTTCGAAGATGACGGAGGAGACAAGCCTCGGGAGGAGTGCGGCGTGGTGGGAATCTACGGCGACCCGGAAGCTTCCCGTCTTTGTTACTTAGCTCTCCACGCGCTTCAACACAGGGGGCAAGAAGGCGCCGGCATCGTCACCGTCCACGACAACGTTCTGAAATCGATTACCGGTGTCGGGTTGGTCTCCGATGTGTTTAATCAGTCAAAGCTTGACCAGCTCCCCGGCGATATGGCCATCGGACACGTCAGGTACTCGACCGCCGGTTCATCCATGTTGAAAAATGTGCAGCCTTTTGTCGCCGGATACAGATTCGGGTCTGTCGGGGTAGCCCACAATGGCAACTTGGTGAATTACCAAGCCCTCCGGGTCGAATTGGAAGAAAACGGGTCTATTTTCAACACCACATCCGATACCGAAGTTGTGCTCCACCTCATCGCCATCTCGAAAGAAAGGCCCTTTTTTATGAGGATAGTTGATGCTTGCAAAAGGCTGGAAGGTGCTTATTCAATGGTGTTTTTAACCGAGGATAAGTTGGTCGCCGTGCGAGACCCGTACGGATTCCGGCCGCTAGTTATGGGCCGTAGGAGCAACGGAGCTGTCGTGTTCGCGTCGGAGACTTGTGCTCTGGATTTAATCGAAGCAACCTACGAAAGAGAAGTCGCTCCCGGTGAAGTTTTGGTTGTGGACAAAGATGGGGTTTCCTCCCTTTGTTTATTATCTCATCCTGAGCAGAAGTCTTGCATTTTTGAGCATATTTATTTCGCTTTACCAAATTCTGTTGTATTTGGAAGATCAGTTTATGAATCCAGGAGAGCATTCGGGGAAATTCTTGCCACTGAGAACCCTGTCGATTGTGATGTTGTGATAGCTGTGCCTGATTCAGGAGTTGTAGCTGCCCTTGGTTACGCTGAAAAAGCTGGTGTTCCATTTCAACAAGGTTTGATTAGGTCACATTATGTTGGGAGAACATTTATTGAGCCATCACAGAAAATCAGGGATTTTGGAGTTAAACTCAAGCTTTCCCCTGTTAAATCAGTCTTGGAAGGGAAAAGAGTAGTAGTTGTGGATGATTCAATTGTTAGAGGAACTACTTCTTCGAAGATTGTTCGGTTAATTAAGGAATCAGGTGCGAAGGAAGTCCATATGAGGATTGCAAGTCCACCAATCATAGCTTCCTGTTATTATGGAGTGGACACACCAAGTGCTGATGAACTCATATCTAATAGGATGAGTGTTGAGGAGATTAGGGATTTCATCGGGGCAGATTCACTTGCATTTTTGCCAATTGATAGTTTGAAGAGGTTTCTTGGCAATGATTCGCCGAATTACTGTTATGCTTGTTTTTCTGGGAAGTACCCTGTCCTGCCAAGTGGTAAGGTGAAAAGGGTTGGTGATTTTGTTGATGATGGATTGAGTGGAAGTTTGGAGTTCATTGATGAAGGCTGGGTCAGTGGAACTAAAAGAGATCAAGAAGACAAGGAAGTAGATGATAAGGAGATACCAACATTGAGTAGAGTTTAGTTGTTTTTGGGAGTTTTAAAGAACAGATTTTTAAGGTTAGAAACAACACTGGGATGATGTTTTGCATTTTTCTTTGGCTGTTTTGTGGTCTGTTCTTTTAGGTTTTGTTACCGAAGTTGGCAGATTGAGGCAGTTTACTGAGGCATTCTTTGCTTCAAGTTTGTCTTCTCTGAATTTGCCAATATATATATGCTTCCAATTTTTCAGTGTTGACACATTTTACTTTCTTTCCAGTTTGTCGCATACAAAAAGACCAAATTTTTTGTTGGTGAAAATCCAGATTGGAAGCCTCTGAATGGGTACTCTTACAGGATCCAGTGATTGATAAAGGGTCACCATTGCTTTGGTGTCAATCATTCTCTGTTTTAAATGTATGTGAAGCAGGAAATAATTTTCGTACAACAACTGTCTCGCGTCTTATTTTTAAGCTTCAAAACGTACAAACTTCTCTTGAATGTCTTATTCATTCAAGTTATTTTAGCCGAACTGTGTTTAAGAAAAGTAGCTCATTGAGTCATTGGAGTTCATTGTTTGTACTTTGTACTTTGTGATGTGGTGAGCCCTGGGGAATCTCTAGAGCTTAACTGAAAATTGTGTCTCAACCAAACAAGACAGCTTTGCGATATTTATCTCATAAATGATGGTTGAGCTATGTATATTCAAATAAAATAATAAAAGAAGAGAAGCAAATAAAGTCTCCATCCACAAAATAGAATAAAATTCTAGGTACAGTTGTATAGATTCAATAGTTCAAAATTGGAATGCTCGGCATCTCCCATTCAAAACATAATAACAAAAATAGTAACATTGTAAAAATCTGAAATTCCTTTCAACCTTCAAGACCCATCCTCAAATAATTAGTGTGGTATGGGAGAAAGGAAAAATGGCGTTACAAAGATGATCCGAAAGCAGATATGGCAATCCAAAAAAATTAGCCATTTTCAGCCCTGTCATAAGCATTGGACTTGTGCTTGGGAGAAAATGTAAAGCCAGCAGGAACCTTGCCAAGTAACATCTCAGATATCCTAATCTGCAGATAAAGAACAACCACCCATACCAGTTAAAAACTTGTAGAAGGAGATCTCTCATAAAGGCCATTACTTAATAACAAAAATGTAAAATCACCCACCCAATCAGCAGCAGAATCAGAGGCCATCAGCGTTTCAAGGTCATCACGGCCATAATACGAGGGAGGCCGCCAATTTATTCTTTGCGGAACCACATCCAAGAGACCAACTGGTACATATCTGTAAGTGTAACTCAACCACTCCAACAAAAAGTGCCTGGTTGTCTCCACTCCTGTGAATTTTCAAGGTCAACAGCAGAAAGAGTAAACAAAAATGTCTAAGTCTTGAATCAGAAATGAAACCATCTCAAAGTTGTATATTATCAGTTCCTCAAGCTCTTCTGCCGTAAGGTCTTTTAATCCTTGCAACAGGAAATTCATTCGATTGGAATTCACTGCCTTGTGGAATTGGCAACAAAATCTAATTTTTTTAATAACTAGAAAGTGAGATACCATCCCTGATTCCTTATCAGTAAAAATTTCAATCTCAAAGACGATAATTGCAACAAAATACCAGCAACAAAGCTCCACAGGCGAAGCAAGTTTATGTGCCAGCTAAAATCAGACAGAGAAGCATTACTATTGCAGTATTCAACGCAAAGCAAACATACATACCCTTGGAATCAGAACCCCAGTGTTGAAGACCAAAACGTGCATAGTCTTTGAGAATATCCAGACGTTCACTAGAACTGATATCCCAGTGTCTCTGTTCCTTTATCTCAGTAAAAATCCATGGCTGTGAAGTTCAAAATAATTTCTTTAAATAAGAAGAATTAACATTGGATGCACAAAAAATGGGCTAGGCTTCAAAAGAATATTAGCACAAACCTTTATTAGGGCACCTCGAGCAATCATGCAAGAAGAAAGTTTGGGGCAATCAGATTTGTGCTTGTTCCAGTCTACGTATGAGAACACATCGCCATTTCCAAGGACTTGCAACGAATCTGGGGCCTTTTGGATGCACTTGTATACATATTCCCAATCAGCAAGCTTGCTGTATCGTTGTTGCCGTGTTCGACCATGTATAGTCACAGCTGTTGCTCCCCAACTTTCAACATCCTCAATAATAGAATCAACGCGATTCCTTCCCTCAAAGTAACCAGTTCGTACCTGAACCATGATAATTATGAATCTGATTACACTTAGTCTTTTAGTGAAAAGAATGTCTAAGAAGGTTTCTGTCTTTACTTTCAACACACTTCCGTACCACTTACCTTGACGGTTATTGGGGTATCTACTGTTCCAGAAGCTGCTTGTATGACACTTTTCATCCTAAGTGGTTTTGTTAGAAGAGCAGACCCCGCACCCTTATTAACCACAATGTCAATAGGGCACCCCATATTAATATCAATAAAATCCACAGAACATTCCTTCTCTATAAGTTCAACTGTCTTGGAAACTGTGTCTGGATATGCCCCACAAATTTGAACACCAAAAAAGTTCTCAGAGGAGTGGCGCCTCAGCAGTGCCCATTCAGAAGCTTGGCCCTGTTTGCAAGTGCAAAGGATAGTAGATAGCAAAATATTAGGAAAACTGGATTAAAAACTCAGGCACAAAATTTGTTTCCCAATTATGTACGCTATGCACGCTAAAGATATTTTGCTGAGAATGAAAGTAATTTATGAATAAAATGGGGAATAAAGTATAGGGATCCCCATTCCCAGTATTCAAGCAAATGGTTTTCCCTCTTAAATCAAAGGAAAAGATACTGAGTATTTGGACGTCCACATCAATACTTAACTGTCCCATCCCTGCATAGGTATTATATAAGTAAAGACAACATTACCTCCAAATCATCCAACAATTAGGAAAGCCAAACAATCTCAATGCAAAAGTCTTTGGTAATAGCAAAATTTGATGACACATTAAAGGGAGAAGTTTCATATGAAAGGATGAGGTTTAGTGGTTAACAAAAACAAACGTAAATCACTAGTAAAGCAGAATTTAAACTATAATCAATGTTGTCAACTCCACAGATAAATATGACTACTAAGTTCAACCTGAAGAAGATTAGTGCACATCGCCATCTCACCACAAGTAACATCAGCACCAAGCACTTTGCATACCCTCCGGAAAGGTAAATTCCCCACTGTAGTCAATGGTGCAAGATAAAGCTTATCTCTGAAGTCAATAAGCTTTCTCTCACGTGGGTGTATTTTCAGGCTTTCATCACTTTCAACAACATCATTATCAGCAAGAGTTCCCCCACCTGAATCACTAATTGTCGAGCTTTCCTCAATATCTGCCTCCTTGATATAGGCACCTGTAGCCAAAAAATGAAAATTTTCAATACCTCATATCCACAAAAGAAAGATGATACTAAGTTCCGATGTTTAGAATGCCACATGAGAAGAGGCACACAGACCATTATTAACTTCAATAGCGCGAGAGGATTCATCAGTCGAAGGCTTTGCCTTCTTCACAGGCCTTAGTTCTTCAGGCACATCACCATTTTCAGGTTTAGTATCTTCTTCCAAATGTTCAGAAGCACAAGTGCCACCAGCTATGCAGCCCTCGTTTTCTTCAATAGCACATGATTTGTTCGCAACTGCCTGATCATCTTCTCTGTCCAACAATTTCTTCGTTTTGTCCTGCAAAATTAACGCCAACAAACAAAACAATTAGACCCCTTCAAAACAATCACAGCAAAAAAAAGCCAACACTTCCAAAACAGGTTGAATCATTGAATCTTCAAAAAACCCAAAATGTCATTAAAATAATCAACCAAAAAGAGTACATGTTCTCCGCATCCATAACAACCGTCTTAATGCATTGTTGAGTTTGTGAGGTTTACTCTTGTACATTGTTTTCAAATTATTATATATGTTTTCAGTGTAAACTTTTGCAAACAACCAACGGAAAATTTAGTAACAATTGGAACATGTGTAATAACAACATATAATCCACCTAATCAGCTCGCCATAGTTAGACAAGGACTTATTTTTTAGTCATGGACTATTGCAACTTTAGATCCCAAAATTCACTTAACATCAACTTTGAAATGCAAAGAAGATCAAAGGAAATATGAGATAAAAAATGAAATTCAGAAGAACTTGGTGAACATAATATCAGACACGGAGGAAGTATCATTTGCTTACAGTAAGGCCAAGAAGCTTCAGAGTAGCATCAGCTTTAGGGAACTTCATTTTATTCTTCCAAAGAAGCTTCTGAACATCTTTATTCAATCCATTCACTTCGGACGTCTTCCGTTGATCACTATTCTGTGTCCCAAATGCAATGCCGTCAGCTAGGTGGGTACCGGCGAATCTACAAGCCAGCCCATAAGGACACCGGCTTTCTCCATTGAAAGGACAATTGCCCTCCAAATCAGCCGGCTTCTGGTCCTTAAAAGCAACCAAGTCATGGCTGTACCGGCATTTCTCACCGTATACACAAGAAGCCACCTCCCCACTCTTCGCCACCACTGGACACAAGTGCAATGCAGATTTTGACTCCTGCAAAAAAAAAACGGAAATTATCTTAATTAGTATTTTCTTCTTTTTTTTTCCCAGAAATCACAATTTAACGATTTCTACATAACGAAAAGAGGAATCAGTACTTGGCGGCGTTCCCGTTTGAGTTGGCGTTTAGATTTTTTCTCTTTGATAAGGGCAGCAGTCTGTGGCGGCAGCTCCGTATCGGCGTCGTTTCTGGTTGGCGGTGGGCAGAGGAACTCCTTTTTAACAGGAGCTATGGCTTTAGCCACGAGCTCCTCCGACGTGAGCTGAGCCGGGATGGGAGCCGGAGTTGCCGCTGGGGATGAAGAAGGTACATCTTCTTCTGGTTTGGCGGGGCCCGCTTGCGCTATGGCGAGCTCAACTACTGAACCCTCCATAACGGGTCGGGTTAACACAGAATTGGGCGAGGGCTTTGCGTATGGCTTTAACTTTACGCTGCAGTAGGGTTTAAGGAATGGATTGGACCCCTGTAGAAAGTGTGAAACCGGGGAAGGAAGAAGAGAGGGAGAAAGAAAATCAGTTGTAAACGGCGTCGTTTTCTAGGCCAAAAATGTTAATTCGGCGGTCTTTCCTTGGGTTTTATGGGCTGTCATCTTGTTGGGCCTAACTCATCTTCCATCATAGCAAAAAATGCACAAGTTTTGTGTCAGCCACCTGAGGTCTGCGAACTGATAGGCGGGGCGAATCCGTGAAAACGGAGATGGAAATGGGAGAATTAGGGTTCAAGACCCGAAAGAATTTGGGAATTCTCCACAAAATTCAGAAAATCAATTTCAATACAATCTTTTCGTTAATGAATTCTTGACCCCGGATCTCTATTTATATTTTCGTAGAAACCGGGTTTTACAATCAATCCCTTGAATCATTGATTTAGATCAATTTGGTCCAGGGTCGTGACATATTGAATGTTGATATGAAATGTTGAGTTACAAATCCCACAACGGAGTCCAATTCTAACTTACGAATGATATTTTTCAAGTGCACCCTAATGAACATCTGAAACCGCTAAATTATGATATGAGGTCTATCAAGAACAAAATAAGACTCTCGTCCCCTTCTAGAAATTATTATTTAATAACCAAAGTGGTTGTGGTGGAGTGTCCACCCTTAACCATAGGTCGAGGGTTCGAATCTCGCTATAGGCATGGAGCAACCTTAAATACTTTGGCCAGTTGTCTCACCCATTGAGGTGCCTACAATTCACCGAGGGGGATCAGTTAGTGTTGCCGACGGTGGGCACCCTGTAAATATGAAAAAAAAAAGAAGAGAGAAAATAAAATTATTATTTAATTTATAATTTTACTTCTAATATATTCATGTGTTTACCTTTCTGCTATAATTTATGGTACTCTGAAAGGGATGTTCTTCCACGGTCAACTTTTTGGAGAGAGTTGATTCATTGTTCTCCATTTCATTTATATTTAACCTGAACAACTCCTGCAAAAATGGGATGGGCGTGGGCCATTATCAAATATAGTGCAAAAATAAAACTGAACTACTGAAGTGTGGACAAATGTAGGGGTCAATATGCAGAAAATCTAGCCAACATTATTTACTACTTTTAGTAAATTCATTGGAGGAGATAAAGAGTAAATAAATGTGGGGCTACGTGTGTTGACTTAGAGGGGAGAACCCCACCCTTTACCCTCTTCCACTATACTTGTTCTTAGCTACTTATAAAGGTGACAATTATGCTCATTCCCAATGAGTACCCATTGGGACTCCATCTATTGATAAGGAAATTAGTCAAATTTTCCGACCATTTATAAATTGAGCACTAAGTGGGTAGTGTTGAATTTGGGGAAATATAAATGAGCTGGTTATTGGATTCTTTTTGGGACCCAACCGGACTAAATTCATACTCTATTGACAACACTAAATCGTAAACCTCTTTCTTTTTTTCTTTTTTTTTGGAACGAAAGTTGTTTTATTGCAGTTTGAAAAGAAAAAATTGTTTTATTTCATAATAATAAATCTTTTCTTTCTTTCTTTTCTTTTCATGAGTAACTATTTTATGTTAACACTTTCATTTAGTACTTTGAAAACTACGTTAGAATGGTAGTAGCTAAGAAATTTATGGCTTTGCCATCAAATCCTAACCCTTGCCTATGGGAACAAAATTGAGCCCCCGTAATAAGAAAATCCTACTCAAATTTAAGATTGGTTGTTTGAAATTTCCTCCCTAATTAGTTGGTTGGGGTTTTTTTTTCCAAGAATTAAGAAATATTCGGGGAGCTTCACATACAATTTTGACAATAACTAGGCAGTATGTAGTTTTTTCACTAGTTATACCTACTAAAAAAAAGTTATGATGTTATATATATAATTATTTTATTCCAAAAACAAAAAAAAAAATCATTATATAAACAACTATTGAGTATCAACACAAATATATGCCTAAAAAAACCAAAATTCTATCGCATCAACTTCTGTCATGATTAATTAAGCTGTTTTAATGAAATCGATTATACAACTTTGGTCTCATCATATGAAAATTAAATGATCCGTACATTTCAATCTTAGCTAATTAACTGATTTGTGAAATAATTTTTTTCTTACTTATTTAATCGTTAATAATTAGTGACATAGGTCAAAATATCTAATTAATCAAAAGAAAAGAAGGAAAGAAGAAAATGAATTAAAAAGACAAACAGAAAGGGGGAAAATGATAACAAATAGAAGGGAAAAAATATCGTAGAACTAAAAAAGATAAAAATAAAAATAGAAAAAAATCCTATTGGGATCCCAATAATTATATTTCATGGGATGCCAATGGGTACTGGGCTACCCGTTTTCCAATACCTTCCCAGATCCGACTGTGTGTAAAATGAATGGATAGTTAATATCCCATATCCAATAATCTCACATCCATTAAATATCTGTTCAATACCCGCCCTACCCGTCCTATTGCCAGCTTGAGCAACTTATATGAAGTACAGTGAAATGGTAAAGATTGGGGTTCTCCCTGCCAAGTAAGTATAAATAATATCACCTTATTCTTTTTATTTTCCTCCAGTGAATTTATTAAAAATAGTAAATAATGTGGGCCAATTTTTTACCCCCACATTTATCTACACTTCAATTTTATATCACAAAACTTTTGTTACATAAATAAAGAAAAGGTACTGAAAACACAAATAGCCTACACTAACCCAACTTTTGCATGAGTTGTTAGGTAAGTATTAGAGCAAGGACAATGATAATACCATTTTGGAGAATCTCTCAGTGCCACGTCAATGGATTTCTGCACTATACACTCTTCCATTTCTTTTTTACAGTGGTTGAATCAATCTAATGGGTCCCAAGCTGGTTTTTTTTTTTTTTTCATTTTTAGAAATGACTAGCGCTGTAATCTTGCAAATGAGACCACATGTCATAAAACTTACCTAATTTTTTGAGTTTGTGTAGACAAATCAGTTTAGCTTTCCTTCACCCATTACAATGGTTACTACTTTAAAAAGGTGGTGTAGTATTTGACACTAGACCACCGTTGTGATTACTCTAAATGAAACAGAAAAGAATGAATTCGCACTAAAAATAAGTGACACGTTCTTTTAAACCACTTATTTCCATTATACATGCTCTGAGTTTTGTTGGTTTGATCTTCCATTCCCTGAAGAAAAGATGTTAATTGATGCAAATGCAATAATGTCACTACGGGATTTAGAAGGATGATGAAAATCCATGTTCATTTTAACCTTGGGCGGGGAGGAATTATACAATTATTACTCCAACTAATTTTGTACTATGAAAAAATGAATGGTTTTATAGCATTGCACTTTCATCAATTATGAATTTTTTTCGATTAGGGTGTGAATTGGCAATTGTGATGTACATAGTTCAAAAGAAGTCCGAACAAAAAGGAAAGGTTTGAAATGTCAGAAGTGGGATTTGAACCCACGCCCTCTTTCGAAGACCAGAACTTGAGTCTGGCGCCTTAGACCACTCGGCCATCCTGACTTGTTGTCAATCTGCACACAGTATACATAAATCCGTATTATAGATATTATAAACAACAGAAAAATCTGGAGAAATTAATAAAAGCAAAATATATGTTGTCAGAAGTGGGATTTGAACCCACGCCCTCTCACGAGGACCAGAACTTGAGTCTGGCGCCTTAGACCACTCGGCCACCCTGACTTTCGATTGTTGGCACCCAAGATCATTATATATTTACGATTATAGTTGTCATAGCTTCACGAAGCTAATTATTTTCATTCTAACTAGTTAACAAAGTCACCACTATCTTTTAAAATCAAAATTAAATTGTTGTCCAGGACTGCATAACCTCATATCATGCATTCGTAATCATATAGCCTTTTGAGGATGAGTTTGATTGCTACGAATAGAAAGTAGGAATCGATTCTTTTATTTCATTCAAAAATTTAGTATCTTCGGCGTAATTTTTCCCGTCCTTGTGACAAGAAATGAGATTGGAACCAAGCCGTTTAGCTTTGAAGAGTATGCAATTACGTAAATATTCTTTCTGTCCTAAAATAAAAATAGTATAATCATATTTGTTGTACTAAACAAACAAGACAATTACCACGAGGAGTCACAAAACTTCTTAATTCTCACCACATGCATCTCAATTGTGCTTGCATGATATGATAGAACAGACAACAATTAACTAGGCAAATTAATAATTTGGCTCTCTTCATTTGTGTCCAGAAACATTGCACTTGCTTCCCATCACCCTAACACTATTATCAGTCAAGGGGTCAGATTCACACTGAATATACATCACAAGAGTTGATTATATTCATATTAATAAAAAATACTATCCAAACGATTGCGTTAAGTCAATATAAATTTTCAAAAACGACATGACAAACAAGGGTCATATGCATATCATCCCTAAGCACATGGACAAAAATCCTACACACTTTATCCTTTTCTTTTGTATGTGTACGTAATAATATATGCCCTAACATGGGGTGTTTTCGAGGTCAAACCATTATGATAAGCTACTATTATTTTTTTTCTCTGACTGCCGAGAAAACAAATGAATGAATGCTTAGAACGAAAACTGATGGATAGATACTGGGAATGGCAATAATGAAATCATTCGACTTCTCAAGACCAAACTTTCCCCAACGACTTATTTGCTCTGGTCATGCTTCACATCTGCACTTCCACTTTGCGACTGCTGCTGCTGCTGCTGCTGTTGCTGTTGCTGCCTCTGATGCATGCTAAGTTGGGCAGCCTGCTGCTGATGCAACTGGAACATCTGAGAATTCATGGAGACTTGTTGATACTTGGAAGGGTCACTGTTTAGTTCTGCAGTTGTGAGTTTCAAACGCTGAACCTCAGCAGTTAATGCCTCGTTCAGAGCTGTCACAACAATATAGCCCATATTAGCAGCCAAAATAAATATTTACAAAGTACTCAATAATCTTATCTTTTTACATAAAACATGCCAGATTTCTAAGGTCTCGCAAGGCTGAATTATGATAACCTCACGAAGACGGGGTGATAGAAGGTAGGTGCACTTTTTTAATCACGATAAATTCTTTTCAAAAGCATTTCTTTCAGTAGTATTCTTTAATTTTCAAATGCGATAGTCAATGTAAACAACACATGTGATGCACAGACAAAGTAAGAACATTGCTACAACTAGGTATTGTTTTGCAATTCAAGGTAACAGGTTTTAGTATCCAACAAGATCATCAAAAGACTACCACTCATCTACTTTCAAAGAGCAAAATCTAGCCTTGAACATCACACAGACTCCAAACTGCCAAAACACTCTTCATTGACACACATACAAGACAACTGAGAACTAAAACAATTGCCTTTCCAAGTAACGTTTCTTTTTAGGGCAAACTACATTATACCCCCCGAGTTTTGGCTCTTTAACCAAATACCCCTCGAGTTTTGGTGTTACTACATTTTCCCCCTTTGACTGGGTGAAACGTTAAGTCAACGTCGGAAAATTATGAAATGACAAAAAAGCCTCCGGTTAGACCAACCAATCAAATAAAAATATTTAAAAAAAGATTAAATAAAAAGACTATACTACCCCTATCTTCCACCCAACCAAACTACTGTTACCTTTTTCCGACCACCATTTTTTACCGACACAAACTATCCTGCTTTCTCCTTTCTAATACCATGTCGGTCTTCCTTGTCCTCTTCTTTATTTCTCTATTTTGAGATAAGAAAACCTAATTCCACCATCATCTAAACTAATTTTTAACCGCAACACATCAGAATTGAGTCAAAAAATCAAAGAAATTATACAACTTCATAAAGCAAAGGAAATTTAAAGCCGGCCCCTCTCAGCCCGAAGGCCTATGTCGATCTACCACTGTTACTGATGTTTTAGCTAACTGTGATGCCGTCCCTTGATTAATTGTTAAAAGAGATGAGAAGAATCGGGCAGAATGGATTTCATCATTCGAATATAATTGAAACTCAACTAGTGATTTTCGTTTTGGCAAAACTATGCTGGTGTTTTATTTTTCAATCCATATTTGTAAAGCGGCGACTGAAGGATGCAACGAGCAAGTTTGGAAGTGGTGGCTATGAATATATTTCATCTGCGGAGGAGATTATGGTTGGATGGTGGAGAGAGGGATGTGGATTTGTAGGCGGCGCATGTGGTGGGGGAGGGGAGGATGAAAGGGGTAATATTATTTGAATGATGATGAAGAACGCCGTGGGGATGGAAATTGCATTTGGCCTTTGGATTTTATTTTTTATTTTTTTTGGCTTTTAAAAATATGAAGCTTAGTTTTTTATTTTTTATTTTTTAAAAAAAGAGCTTATAGCTATGTATTTTCGTCAGTTCATGCTAAAAGTTGGATGATGTCAACTGCTGACATCATTCTCTGGTGAGAAAGTGTTCAAACGGTTAGAAAGATCAAAGCTCAAGGGGATATTTGTAGTATGATAAAAACTTGAGGGGGATTTTGTTAAAGGGATAAAACTCGGGGGTAAAATGTAGTTCGCCCTTCTTTTTATTGACACTCCATGACATTCACCTACCATAACTAAGCTTGAAAATACAGTACCTAATTAGTACAGCAAGTACCACCAAAGTTTTTAAGCATGATTTTTCACTAATTACTATTATTGTATATCAACAAACTAGCACAAATGATTCAGACCATGTTTTGGCCTTCTCGGGTGAGGAGGAAGGGGATTGGTACAGGTTGCATTTTCGCCACACTAACTGAGATGGACTATCTTTCCAGTGAACACAGAATGCAATCATTCAAGTGCTAATTCAGGAAATTCAGAAAAAGAAAGCCTTATTACACCAACACATAGCAGTAAATGATGCACAAAATAAAATTTACCATCTCGAAGTTGAGCTTGCTGTTCCATGGCTTGCAAACGAAACTTCAACTCATTGTTTTGGCTGGTCAATCCAGCAGAATCTCTCTGCAATAATAAATTATCACAATGTGGTATTCTCGGGAAAAAAAAAATAGTAAAATGGAGTTTAAGGGACAAAAAGAAAGTAGTTCCAACCTGCAAAAGAGTTAACTGGGCAGATAATGTGGTTGCCTCGGTCTGTAAAGTTTGAACTTTGTGTTCCAATTCTGCAATATATCTCATCTTTCTTTCTTTGGAGCGGGCAGCAGATTGACGATTGGCTAAAATCCTATCATCAACATAGAAATTCAATAAGATGAAATGAAAAAAAAGCAAAGAATGTTTGGACGAGTATAGCTCACTAAACAACTAAGCTCAAAAAGATAAGCTTTCTTTTAAAGAAAAAAGAAGAAGATGACTTGTGACATGAGTATTACCTTTTAGCCCGCTTGGGATCACTTAGAGCAATTTCAGCTAGTTTCTCATTTGCCATGATCTTCTTTAGTTCAGCCCCACTGAACTCCCCATTTCCGAATTCCAGGCTGAAAGTATTTGAATCCAGAGAATTACTTGGAGACAATTGGCCTGGTCGACCACCTGGAGATGGAGGAAGTTTTGGTGACTCATCACCAAAATTTAGCTTGCCCATGAAACTATCCATTGAAACACTCCTGTAGTGTCTTGAAGTAGGCGCAATATCTCCAACGGCACTTCTTTTAATACCTTCCCTCTTCATGCTGTTCCCACTTTCATTTACACTGCTAGTTGCCTCATTGTCGCTGCTATCACAACCATTAGTCTTTGTACCACTGGCTCTGCTATCCAAATCATCACGGTTCTCTGTGCCCTGTTTTTCGTCAGTTCCTGATGAGTTTAATGCATCAATATTGTCCAAGTTCATGTAAGCAGAAAACAGGTCGTCCACAACTTCCCCTTCTGATTTCCTCTCGCCCATACCCTCGGCACTGAGCTCACTATTTTTCTCCCAATTCGATTCCCGCTTCACCAATTGCACTGCCGCAGGCATAGATGCACCTGGACTCCTTAATGGCATTAAAGGTGGCGAAGTTTGCATGATACTGGAAAATCCAAATGGTATGTCACTATTAGACCGCCTATGGGTCTTGCGAGGAGGAAGACTACTTTCTCCCGCCCTAAATGAATTACCCCTAGTGAACGGCGAAGGTGGCAACAAAGATTGCGAGCTAGCATTCTGATCGTCCATTAAAACATCGGTAGAGACAGGTTCAGAAATGGAATTTGGAACAGAATCTTTATAAGGAGAAGGGCTCAATGGTGGCAACGAATCAAGCGAGAAAAATGAAGGCTGTGATAAAGATCGGGAATGTGATGGCCCTGGACCAGAATTAGGACTGAAATTCTGCATTCCCAATTGATGATTTATTGGCCTGGATACCGGGACATGCGAATAAGGTGAAATCGGGGGCATTTGTGGATGCGAAGGCGGTATACCACCCCGTTTACTATTCTCAACATTACTACTAGGCGAAAACTGCCGCATTTGACCTCGAAACTGCAAGGTACTAATCTGGGGAACCTCCACTTGATTAGCAGATAAGGAATTTTGCTGCTGTTGAGGCTGTTTAGGGACAGAAGAGGATGAAGTGCCAAATGATGAATGAAGCCGTTGCATCATTGCACTATTGGCGGCTTCGTCGTTAATACCTCCCATCTTACTTCAAAACTTCAAGGTGACTCAACCTATAAATATCAAACTTTTACTATAATTAAATCCCCAGAAATGCTCCTCTCCTAAAAACTTAATTTCATAACCAAGTTACTGCCAAAACTTTTGAAGTTCAGAGCCCACCTGGAGAAATAATGAGAACTCAATTCAATTTGCAAGAAAACTTCCAAACGAAACTTCCAAACGAAACCCTACCAATAACAAATTACCCTTAAATAAAATTCCAAAATGCTCCTACTAAACACCCAATTCTACAAGGCCTAAATTCAACACTCACTCGACATAAATTATCTACAAAATAGAGAACAAACAAACCAACCGCAACATTAGCATACTGATCAAAAGCCAAAACCCTGACGAAATTTCAAACCAAGGTAACAATAATCAAAATGGCAAAAACAGCATACCAAGTAAAGAATCATAAATAAAAATACAATCTTTACTAAAATTTTCTTCAAAAGGGAACCTGGAAAAAAAAGAGACGGAACCAACCATTTACTCACAGGAATCAGCAAATTTAGTCTATCCACCACATTAACCAGCATAAAAAGGCTCCTATCAGAATAAGGGTGGGGGGAGCTTTGACTCTTGACTATAGTGAGTGTGTATGTGTTTTTTTCTCGAACTTTCTCACTCTAAAAAGAAATGTGGGTTATGGGTTTCTCTCTCTAAATCGAATACAATGTGATGATGACGATGAATATTGAATAGGAAGAAAATTTGTTGATGATGATGATGATGAAGAAAAGGAAAAATTAAAGAAAGGGAAGGCAAGGAAGGCAAGAGACAATGACTACTGTTACACGGATTTCGTGACAAATGAGTACAAAGAAAAAAAAAAGTAGAAATACGGTATTAGTGGTGTTTGTAGTAGTAGTTTTTGTGGTATTTTTTTGTTCGGGGGTTTAAATGGGGTTACCGCTAAAAGACGCGTGAATTTATTATGAATTTCATTTCCATTTGAAGGGAATCCGCATTTGGGCCGCATTTCAATTACATTCCGACTGCATTTCGTGAATTTTATCTGTCTTTTTTTTTTTTTTCTTTTCTTTTTTCTTGCCCCCTCTATCACCGCAAGTTTTGTAGCAATGAATTTCTCTCGGATTTTTCCTCTTTTCTATTAATTCTTTTTTACCATTTGTACGTCAGAATCGCAAGAATTTTAGGAAAATAGACATTTAAATCACTCATATTGCTTGTAGCAAGATATTTTTAGATCATTCGTATTAGTTCTATCATCGCGTCAATTTATTTCGTGCTAAAAAATAGTCTTTTTATCGAACAAAACTTTCATTTTGATAGTTCAAGAATGTGAGTTACATAATTGCATGTTTTTGTGTATTTTGTATGTTCACGGCATAGTAATTTGGATGTTCATATATAGTAAAAAAAAATGTAAATGGATTTTGATCTTATCAAAATCTAAATATTGTAGTCGAATCCTTTCTTATAAGGTAATAAAATCGTTGCGTTAAATGAATCTAAAACGCTTATTCTTAATGTGAACGATACGTTGTACGAAATCTTCCTATACAAGGAACAAGTATATTTTTGTTTTTCCTATTCTAATATGCATCGTGATTACTACCCCTTCTGTTACGAAATGAATATCTAACTTGTATTTTTATTTTTAATATAATTTTATTAAAAATAAAAATTCAACCATTCAATTATTTTGTGACAGAAGTATTATAGTATCAAGCTTTAAAGCAAATGGCAGGAAATTTTGTATTAAGTTTTGATTTTTGTCATAAAGTTTTAAAACGGCAAAAAAATAAGAAAACCACTGATTAACCAAGTAAATTACTAGAAATTGCTAATTTGTAATTGGTAGGATGAAATTGTCAGACTATTAAATTTTTGAATGATAGAGAATATTTTGAAATATTTTGGGATAAAATCTACAAAAAATAAAAATCACGCTTTATAATGAAACCAACAAAGTTTCCGTATATTAAACGTACATTTTTAATTTGATTTTCTATCATTTGTTTTGTCTATCAGAACTTGGATAGTTTTGAGGATAAAGAAAAACCATTTGGGTTTGAAAGGTCTTCATCTCTAACGGATTTCAGATTAATTTTTGGAGTGAAGTTTCTTTTATCATTTTTTCTTTTAATTTTTTTTAAATGAAATTTTGAATATCCATGGTCGGTTTTAATTTTTAAATACTAGCTCAGTAAAAAAAAAAAAAAAACTCAATATTAAATTTTGAATTTAGTACTATTTTCTTGAAACTTACTCAACATAATAGTATTATTTCTGTCTCAAAAGAAAAAAAAAGGTTCACATTATGACAAAAAAAGTTCCAAATTTTTGCTAAAACAGTTCAAATTAAAAAGTCCATTGTGAACTATTTTATCATTACATAGGGAGTAATATTTTGGTACTTGATTTAATCTAGATTGATATTTTCTTTTAATAGTTGGTAAGGTTATTAATCACAACATTACCACGTGCTATTATACTTTAAAATTCTATATAAAATATATCCACAAAAAAATAATATCACAATATTACATGTAGATTAATTAGCACGAAAATGTGCAAAACTAAAGAAATAAGTTTATATTTTTAATTTAAAGTATGAATATTTTAAATTGAATAAAATCTCCGAGCACTAAATCATGTTTGATGAAAAAATCGAAATTCTCAGGCAATTGCCTGATATCTTAAAGCTGAAAATGCAATTTTGAATATTTGAATTAAATTCTTAGTAATTCATCATGTTTGATAAAGATGACAATATGAATCAAATGTGTTTCCAACACATTTAATTTTCTGCTGATATTGATTTTTTAATATTATTAATATGTTTACTACTTGTCAAATAGATCCTTACCCCTTAGTAGCATTATTAGTGTCTTATTTTAAACTAGATCGTAAATTTAATTAATATACTTGGATTGCTTTATTTATAAAAATTTTTTTTCCTTGATTTAATTAGTACTCCTTCCGTCCCAAAATTATTGTCCAATCTGAGTTTTCACTTTTAGTATAAATTGAACTAAAAGTGAAATATCAAACTGAACAATAATTTCAGGACAGATGGAATATCTTTTTATTACTCCTTTCAAGCTATGTAGGTTTAGTATTTTTAGCTAAAAGAATGAGAATAAAATGTCAGTAACGTTTTCCTCTAAGAAGGAAATATGAGTTTTATGGTATTCTTTTGGTATAATTTTGTTATTTCCTTTGTTTGGGTTATTGAAGAAATGTCACAAATTCCGTTCAACTAAGATTGTCCTAACTCCTAACAAAATGTGAATACATGTTGCGATAATAACAATCTCTCATCATTCCTTTTATATTATGATACTCTCTCCATTCTAAAATAAGTGTCGTTTTGACAAAATGGAGAAATTCCAAAATAAGTGTCGTTTTCGGATTTCAATGCATTTTTTGTTAAATATTTTCAAACATATCCTCAAAAGAAATAATATTATTGGTGAGCATTTATTTTAATGGGGTTGGTTGAGGATATTCTAGTAATTTAGTTACCATATTTAATGTTTTTTTAAATTATGTACAAACTTTAGAATGACATTTATTTTAGAACGGAGGGAGTACTAGTATTTTTGTGATGAAAGAGCAATTTCCTTGTACGGCAACTCACGATTATCTTCTGCTTAATCAGTGTTTTCGGCTTTATCGCAGGCAAACAACCCCCCATAAAAAATTTCAGGAAATGGGGGAAAATAAAAGAAAGAAAATCCACGTGGCAGAGAACATGTCGGTCATTACAGATGATCGGAGAGGTCCGGTTTGACTTTAATGTTGGCGGCCAAACGTACGAGAAACACGTGTCCCCTCGTTGATGCGCTTTAAGGCCCTCTTCAATTTAATTTAATAAAGATGGTTCAATTAATTAAAAAAAAAAAGGGACAGAAGAAGGCGAAAAAATATCCAAAAAGTCAGAAACATATCAGATTGAGGAGCCATTTGTCATTATTCATGAATGCTTAATTCAGACGGGTGACCTCCTTCCAGCGTTATTTCATACAGTTAAAAACCATTATAGTTTTTTTTCTTTTTTTTTTCAATTTTATGATAAAGTTAATATACATGAGATCATGGAAGTGTTCGTCATAATTTTCACCGTCGTTACCAAATTTGTTCACTATTATTGTGATTACATTTTCCCCAAAACACGAAACATAACTCATTTAACAAAAGGATTTTCAAAGTCTCAGAAAACGATCACCAAATTTAATACTCTCTCCGATCTTTATTATAAAATATTTTAACTTTTTCTAGGTACGTATTTTCAATTGACAAAAACCTTAAAAATATTTCATAATAATTAAGAAAACACACTGAATGTGAAAATATATTTTTAAAATTTGTATGTCGATAAAAAAATGCGTATTATGTGAAATCTAGTACAAATCAAAATGTCATATAATAAGAACCAAAGGAGCACTAACTAATTGTGTCTTCGAAAGTATCAGCTTAAATCTAAGGAATATTATTATTATTGTTATGGCCTTCCGTAACTACGTGTGTTCCAATCAGTCTGTGAGTCTGAATGGAACTGACGATGACCTGGTGGTCGTATCTAATACGTTCAATATCAATAACGTGGAGAAAGGGCGAACAATTGGCGTCTTTTTTGTACCTTTTTCTCTTGACAAAGAATCACATCAACTATTATTAATTTAATCAAATGGAACATGTGGTTTTTGCTTCCTTTTGGAGTTGAATTAGAAGTCTCTATTTGTTATTAGGACTAATGTAGGCGGTGACACAATAATTTTTCTTTGGTTTGGGTCAAGTTTACATTAAATTTGGATTGAATTTCGGAATTCCCGAGACTGAAGGTAGGAAAAATGGGTGCAACTGTAGTTGAATAATTGAAAGGAATCATTTTTTGACGGTCGGACCAAAGACGGAAAACGGACGACAAAGACTAATGGAGAGAATCTCGTTATTGGCTGCGTTCCATTAATCAACAACTAGTGTGTGACTGTGTGTAAATATATACATATTCTCTCCGGGATTTTGGATCGGATGTGGAATTTGTGTCCCGATATGACTTTTGGCCCTTATTGCATCCACTTCGCAAAATTGACTCCGTGACTGAGGAAATAAGAACATCAATGTATGGGGGCGTGATGGACGACCCATTGCCCTTGTCCCTTTCTAGTTTTCTTTTCAAGGGATTAAGGAATTAACCTTATGTTTCTTTGTGCAATACATTATTTGTCTTCATCAATGTCACACGAGACTAAATCTCGATCATGTATCGTGAAATGCACGTAAAATGCTAACTATTGACTAAAAGTAAGGTAAGGGTTTGGCATATGGATGAGAGCACGACCAGAAAGTGTTAAAAGCTATTCGATGTAAGCCATCTTATGTGAGAACGTTATAAACGAATGGCTATCTTTTTTTCTCAATGAAGAATGAGGAGAATACGCAGAATCGGCGATTAGTGTAGATTATGCCGTTATACGACGATTATACATAACTCAGTGCCATTAAAGGAACAAAAGAAAGAGGCCAAAGCATTCTAATTGAATGTTTGGATAAAAGCCCAGGAATTATCATATTTCTGCACATTTCCAACCATACGACACTTTTTGGTTTGGTTAATAACTGTGAAGCTACACAGGAAGAGTGGACAAAAACTTTCCTTCATCAGGGACCTTCTCTATTCTAATATAATCCATTAGCCAAGCAAAGCATGATATATACACAAACCACTCATTCTCTCACAGTTCACCCAATATGTAAAGCACATATTTTCAGCAAAACTAACAGCCTGATGCCGCTGATAAACCACTTCCGCTCCTTCACGAACTGCTTCCGGTTCATTTGATAGTGATATACCGATTCGTACCGTGTTTAGCCCAGTAGTTTTTAAGATCCACAGGAATTGATAGATCATGACCAGCCGCTGCCATTCTTGTAAGCAATCTACCGAAAACGCTCCCACTCATCTTTCTCCCACCCATTCGACCATGTCGCTTGTTTGGCATTTGAGGCAAAGGATACACAGATAAGGAAGTGGTGCAACAGGATGACTGCCAACCTCCACTCCCCCATTTGTAACACTGTCTAGCTACGCCAGTACACGTGCAAACTGGTATCGGCATTCTGGACCCGTCAAAATTTATCAATTGGATAGAACTAAGATCGAGAGCATCCCACTCAGCCTTAGAACCATCGGTCGTGATATGCCTGTTTAAATCCTCACCAATCTTCTTCGGCTTCGTAGACCTTTTAGACAGCTGAGTGGTACTGGCGGAAATGCTATTGTCACCCATTCTTTCTCGGTCACACTGAGATTTGAGAGCTTCAGATGGAATTACCGCCAAAGAAATTACTTGAGTTACACGGGCTTCATCAGACTTTGATAAAGACTGGGAATGATTGGCGTGAGGATTTCTGTGGTGGTTCAAGCGTTTTACTCCACGTTTGGTGCTGCTACAACCTAGAGCTCCATGTATAGTACTTTTATGGAACTGTAGGGAGGCAATCGCATTGTCACGTTCTCTCAGGGCACTGTCGCGCTCAGCGACAGCCACATCTCTCTGTTGAATTGCTGCGTCTCGCTCGTCAACAGCCGCTTTCTTTTCCAACAGTGCCCTGTCCCTTTGTTCAAGTGCAGCATTCCTTTCAGCTAGTAGCGAGCTGATCTTTGTATTCATAAAGAACGCATTTTGTTCCTTAATGTGATCATGTGGGATGGCATTACACTGCAACAACCAGCACCAGTTAGGCGTTTATCTCAAGAATTTAAAGACTAAAAAATAAACAAAAAGGCTACTACTATTTTCACTTTTTGTATATTTTCTTTTTAACTTCCAAGACGACGACCTAAGAGTGAAAGTCTAGTTTCTTAAGCACAAAACCAGTCAGTTTCTTACCATAGGGTGACCCACTTTGCAGTTATCGGTCCTCTGTCTTTGGCTTTCTCTTAGCCCATGATCATCCATTCTTCACGTTGATGGAAGATAAAATTGTCAATAGCAACAACTATCTAATTCTTCATCAAACCACATCAAACAGGGCAAGAGAATCATGCATGCCAAAAATCACTGACTTATCAACGGAAGGACCCTTCTGGAGCAAATCAAATCAATTTTACTCGGGGTGAATACATAGTGCGGACTAATATAAATAGCTCTTCTGATATACTTCATTTTGAGTTTTCCGGGAGAAAAAGAAGGCAGCGGAAACACGAAGATTGAAGAATGGTAGGGATCCAGCAAATACTGGGATCAAAGTAACAATAAAGTGCATATACACGAGGCCTGAAAGCTTTGTTAACAGTATTCAGCTTTGAAGAAAGCAGGTGAAACTTTGTAACCAGACTAATCCATAATTTTGTGGTCACAAACAAGAGAAGAAATTAAGAACTGAGAACCAAAACAAGATAATTAGACATACATGGTAATAGCTCTAGGCATGTTGCCGTGCATCATAATTTTACAAGGTTATGCAGGCATTATATGTACAAGGTAACACTACCGGCCTTAATACCAGACCTTTCCCCTGACACCACAGCACATGCAGGAGCTTCTAGGCCATCTACGCACCGAGGTGCCATTATCTACACATTGATAAACTTAAGTTCATACTTTCATCCAACCACTTTTTGGTTGTAGCATTTTGCAGTATTCCTACTCTGATAAATTCTCCACAAATCAATCAGTAAGATGCATTTCTAAAATAATGGGAAAATGAAGTCATAGATAAATTGCAGAAACGAAACAACAAACAAACATTTACCATTCAAAAAAGGATAATGCCACTAATTAAGCTCGAAATAGGATACTCCCACAAAACACAATCAAGAAAGGCACATACCTAGTAGAAGTAGAACATAAAGAAACCGTATTTCTTTTTTGAACATAACAATGTCACAATTAACTCCATGCAGACTGCAGAGAACTAAAAAAGATTGAACAAAAGCAACCAAGGAAAAAGAAAATGACCGGCTTAAATAAATACTTACAACTAAGAAGACACTATAAGCCAAAACAACTAGGGTTTTAGGCTTTAGCTAATTCTGTTCCTAAATGAGAGGGGCAGTTGGATACATAAATGTTAAACTCAAGGAAAATGCGAAAGAAGCTACAGCGGAACATAAAAAAGGGAAGAGGGGTAGATTGGGAAGGAAAGAGAAGCTTACGGAGGCGGCGGCGTAGGAGGAAGAGAGGACGCCGGAGGAGGGGAGTGGCGGCGGCGTAGGTGAGCTTTACTCAACAAATTGGATAGTGGATTTCAGTGGGATCCCAATTTCCCGAAACGCCAAAGCTTGCAGGGTCTGTGGCCATTTTGCGCCTCACTCTTGAATTAGTTAACGTTAATAATCTTTTCGATTTTGAGAACGTTAACACAAACGTATAAAAGTCCCATAACTATTGTTATTCTTTCTTTCTCCTTTTATCTACTCTGCCTTTATGAAACCTTTACTTTGGACACTTGACAATTTGACACAATGGAAATTGATAATTTTCTTTCAAGACACATATATATTGTATTCAGTGACGAGATTAATCTAAATCATTATAAGTTGACGTGTAATCCTATTTTATTTTATTTTTGGTAGATTACTATTATAATGGTTAGAATCCGATTATTATTTCCACATTCAAGGTCTTCATATTTGAATTAGACAATTTAATTCAGAATTGTGCTTTATAAATAAGGTTTTTGAGTAAATTATTATCTCAATTAAATTTTTGATTTTATTTTATTCTACATTTAGCAAGGTTGGACACCCACAATAGTAATTAATCAATTAATTTTTTTATGTACTTTGGTGCAAGTTTAATTGTTTAAGACACATAATCCAGGCTTGAAGTGTCAGATTAGAGATGGTAGATCACTTAATATTTGGACGGATAGATGGGGTCCGTTTGGAGCTATTATGCCTCGTTTGCGACAACAGACACATCTGGAGGTTAGGATGATCTCGGACTTAATTGATCCAATTTCTAGAAGTTGGAAGGTTGACCTATTGAACAAGATTTTTGTTCCAGCAGATGTATTTAAAACCAATCAACTTCCTTTAGGACAGTACGACACACAAGATAGGCTGGTCTGGGGAGCAGAAAGGAATGGGCGTTTTACAGTTTAAATTGGCAATGGAACTGAAAGCTGCTGATATAGAAATGCCTGAGTCCAGTTCTGCTCGAGCTCAAGCCAAAAAAACGTGGTCCACAACTTGGAAGCTGCCCATTAAGGTTAAGTTGAAGCATTTTTTGTGGAAATTGTATAAGAATTGGATCTCTGTTTATTCTGTGTTAATGAAGAGAAAGGTGAAGGTGGAGAAGAATGTCTGTCCACGCTGTGGAAGTGAAGCTGAATCAGTGGAACATTTGTTATTTCATTGTCGTGAAACTGAACTTGTTTGGCGTCTAGCTCCGGTACAATGGAATGGAACCCAACATCATTTCCTTTCATTTTCTTCTTGGTGAGACTCACTGTGTACTGCTCATTTTGATGAGAATTTTCAGGTTAGAGTGGAACTTTTCTTCAGTTCAAGACCCTCTCATCCATCGCCGGTCCCAACCATCACCAAAGCTCTATTTTCTTTAATCTTCTTCTAGCCTCCACACCAAACGGCCATCTCTTCTACTTCATTATAGCTTCAGCCTTTATAATCAAGAGATGTAAAATAATAAAAAGAAAGGGAGAGAGAGGAGCTGCCGATCGAGAGAAGAGGAGGAGGCCGGGAAGAATAAGGGGGAAAGGGTAGAAGTGCTTGAAGGGCTGATTCGTTTGAGAATTCGGCTTGACATGTGAGCAGCGGCAACCGAGAGCAATAGGCCATATATTAATAGCCGAAGAAGGTAAGAATTCTAAATACTTGATTATCAATCTCTAGTTCTGAATTACTGAGTAATTTAAGGAGGTAGAACAATAACTATATAGCCAACTCTTCTATTTAGAGTTGCATGAATTGTATGTATGTAAAGATCCCTGATTATAGCACTTTGATGTTCTGTTAGTTTATTTGAAACTTAACTGTAGCTTAGAAACTATTGCGTATGATAGGAATTCGGAATTGAATACAATCTGGGGCTTAGAACTAAAGAAATTACTAGATTCAAGTAGTGAACTTTGAGTCGTTGAGTCATGTATTTCAGAGGTTGCCTTTGTTCAAACTTTTATTGTTTTTAGTTACCATACTTTCAGGATCATTCTTCCTTTTTGTATTTTATCCAATGGTTTTATGAATCTTCCGGAAAACTTGAAGAAAAGAAAACATGCCACTACCGTTTCTTTTTTGGAGAAGGCAATAATAATCATATTGAACACTCGGTTATGAGCTCTTTTACTCATAGCTCTGGAACTCGTCTCCGGGAGTTCTTTATATGAAATTCTTCTTCGTTTGAAGCAGTTTAATGCAGTTTTTACGGTTTGCAAAACGGAGCTATAGTTGAGTGGAAAACTTGATTTGAACAGGACATACTACTTGCTGAAAATTTGTTTGCAGAGACAGTTTTCAGAGATTTGTTTCTCCTACTTCGTGAACTACTTTTACAAATCTTCTATTGGGAATGTCTTCTATATTGGTTGAAGTTTATTACAGATTTACGGATTGAAAATTGGTTTTACAGATTGCCTGGAAAACAGGTTTGATCGCAACTAACCGAATCTGAAAAGTTCTGAAATAAAACGATTTCAAGCGCCATTTTGCAGATATGTTTTCTCCGGAGTTCTGATCTATTTTTTTCCTGGTTTCTTCAGTCAAATATCTTCCCTGTTTTCTCTACTTTATAATGGTTTTGACGGCTCTACAAACCTTCCAAGATTTTGGTCAAAACATGACATGTTTATTGATACTTTTCTGAAAATGTGAAAATCGGATTTGGGATCTCCAATATCAGGCCTTTTTCTCAGAGCGTCGGAACTCTTTTCTGGGATTTCTTTTTACGAATATGCTCTCCATTCAGTGTAGATTATCCAGGTTTTTACGGATTGCAAAATAGATTTGTAGATAGTCCGAAAACATGATTTGAACATGATCACCATTTTCTGGAAGTTTGCTATGTGCTGCTGCTTTTGGAGACTCGTTCCTTCTGTTAACGGAACTGTTTTGTGAAAATTCTTTTGATCAATGTCTTCTATGTTTATTGGAGTTTATTATGGACTTTACGGACTGTAAAATGGAGCTATGGATTGGCAGAAAAGTGGATTTGAACTAGACTAAATGAATCTGGAAATTCTACAGAATTATCAGTTTTGAAGTGCTGTTTTGGAGAACCTCTTTCTCCTAAACTTTGAACTGTTTCCCTTGAATCTTTCTCATGAAACCTTTAGTCAATAAACCTTGTTGATAATGGTTTTAAAGGCTTGTGAAAAGCATCTTTCCTCTGATCAAAACCATGTTTAGAACAGAGCAACTTTAGTACCTTGCTGAAATTTCAAAACATTGAAAACAAAAGGCCAACTTTGAGAATTTGGTTTTCACTCCCAACTACTCTTTTCAAAATAAAGTTTGCTTCATTTTCATTCTCTGATGGACAAACTCTTAACCTAGAACTTTAGCTTCTAAGAATGACATTTAAAGTCTTAGGGAGAATAAAAGGGAAAACGCATCATTAACATTAGCATCATAAATAGGAAAACCATTGCATATGAATATTACTAGTTAGTTTTAGAATACAATTAAGTGATAATGATTCTAAATGACCTATTAACAGATTTGGAGAAGGATTGTAATGAATAAAAGGCAACAAGGTGAGTATTTTCTGTCACGCTCTATATTGTAACCTTGTCTGCCCCTCTCAGTGTATAACTGTTGAGTGCTTATGTGGTTTTACTTGATCGAAGTGCGAGCTTTGAGCTACTACATGAACCTATGATATGTGATTGTATTGCTATTATTTGTCTATGTGTTAATTGAACTGAGTTGCTTGTCATTTTACTCGGTTGTGTACTTTATCACACCGAGAATTGCTACTGTCATAATCTGTCTTGTAAAGAACTTGTGCATGAATTGCCATGTAACTGTGAAGACTTGGATGTGTACATTATCACACCAGTCTTGGGGCCCCCGCTACCATAGATCGATTCCAACGGGTCGGCGATGGGCACAGACGTATGGATAGACTATGGATAGCTTTAGTAGGCGTGCACGAGCTACGAGTACTTGATTGTTGTGGCCACTTGGAGTGACGGGTTATTGTTATTGGATTTGAAATGTAACTTGAACACCAATTGGGAATCTAACTTGTAAGACAACCCAAAAGACCACCTAGGTCTTCGGCAGTCTCCAGTTAAGATCCACTCGTATCCTCATGAGAATATGTCAATGGCCTCGGATATGGTCATCTTTTATGTGCTAATGTTTCTGAATGTTTCTTTTTCAAATGCAATTCATCGCGTAGATAATGTTAGTCTAATAGTTATAGTGATAGAACTTTGTAGAAAATGTTAATAAATGAAAATGATGGATGAAAATGAACTGTGTAAATAACTGCATGTGTATGTGATTTGATTACCGTATGGAGTGTGAGGGACTGGGAGTTGTTGTTTGAGGTATTCACTGGGCTTTAAAGCTCATCCCATTACTTTTTTTCCTCACAGGTTAGCAGCTTAGCTGAGTTAAGGAAAAGAATAAATTAATTGGTTACGAAGAGAAGCATTTGGCTTTACTTTAGTCTAGCGCTTATTTGAGTTTCGGAATTTTAGTAAATTTTGGAAACATCTTTGTAGTAATTAAGTCTTCCATTGTGAAAATTCAGAAGTTTGAACATGTAATAGATTAGTTAGTTCTGTTCCACAAAGCCTTGGGCGAGAGATCGTCCGGCGGGCGACTCAATTGGTCACCAAACACGATAAATAGTTGTGTTGGAGATTTAGGTCGTCACAATTAAAATGGAACCTTGGGATGTGGTGCAACAAGCTATGAATGAATGGTTTGAATATAAGCATGCTCAGAAAAAGGGTGATGCTAATCCTTCACAATGGCCTGTTTCTTTAGAGGTCCAGGGTTGGATTAAGCCAAATCCAAGTATGTACAGAGTTAATGTTGGATATGAGTTGCATAAGCAGAAACATTATGTTGAGGTGGGATTTACTATTAGGAATACTTCAGGGGAATTAGTTGTTGAGAAGTCAGTGTTTCTACCAATTGTATTAAATGATTGTACAATACAGGCTGAAGCTGTGAGAGCAGCGATTTTTGAGGCTCAATATCGCAGATTGCAGCATGTTGAGGTACAAGTAGATGTGAAGGCTATGGTGGCTTAGTTACAGGGCAAAAGGGCAAAATGACTCCTGTTTCAAGTGTTTTAGCTATAGCTGATGACATTTGCTTGTTGAAATCTTATTTTATGACTTGTAAATTCTTGTTTCTTAGGGTAAAGTGGAACTTGTTATTCATGATCTTGCCAAATTAGTTCTAGCTAACAATAGTTCACAGTATTGGGAAGTTGACTCCCCTCTGTGATTAGATAGAGCGTTTAGGGCGGATTGTAATAGCTTGGTGTGAGCATTTGTACATATTTCTTTTTTTTGCAATGAAATGAGTATCGATTTGTGGCAAAAAAAAAAATAAAAATAGACAGCTAAATTACCTTGGGCTTCTCATGGGTTAACAAACAAATATGGGCCTCTATCTGGAGCATGGCTTAAGCCCAGTGACCACTGATCGAAAGCCCAATTCAGAACTAATCAGAACAAACTAGAATCGCAATCAGGAGAAGCCAACTCAGCATTAAACACTTCCCCGACTTGAACCGATAAAACCATAAAACACTTCCCGCTGCCGCCGTTCTCCGCCGCGTCACTACCTCAATGCCAACCATCAAAACTACACCAACAAAGCTCATCTAATCAACGGCACTAGTGTACAAGTTCTATTTGAACTTTTGTAAGTTTTTATGTTTTGTTATGTTTTGCTTTATTTTGGGTTCCATTCGAATTTGCAATATTCTTGCTGAGCTCTGAAGCATTCATTTTGAGCAAAAACCTTTATATTTATTTTTTTTATTTTTATTTTTTTAAAAAAGCATATCCCAATTCTTGGAAGTCGGGAAAATCATCCATATATACTTCACGTGAGAATAATGAATGAATTGAGCTTCTTTTTATTACTGCTAGGCTGCCATTGATGAGAATCCGAAATTGGTAGGGTTGTTTGAACAATGGAGATCACGCTGGTGACATTGTTAAGGGTGGCTTGGATTGGGGGGACTTTGCCTATTCTGATTGCTTCAATCCCTTCGTCTAAGCTCAATTGGGTTCATGATTTGCTGTCGGGCTTTGCAAAACGTGGCAAGACTCTGCAATCATCATCAAGTGTAAGTTTGCTTTACCCCCGTGATATAAGCTTGTTGTTTCAAACGATTTGGCACAAAGTTGTGTTTTATGTTAAGAAAAAATAAAACTTGGATTAAAATTAGCCTGCCTATATGCTGTTGGGTTGAAAATTAAGATGAGGAGAGTTGTCCATTCAGGGTTGAATTTTATTGTTTCTTCTCGATATGGATTATGTAAGATATTGTGTGAAGACTTCATCTTTGATATTCTTGTTGTGTTTTGTACTTGGCAATACTGTAAGTGTTAAGATTCTGACTGATCATGTTTATTCAAAACATCAGAGATTCACAGTCCCGCAGAGATTCTTCGGCCACTTTTATGTATTGGCTGTTATTTGGACAACAACTTTACTGGTTGCCACATGGGTTTACGCGTATAGCGTGACGCCATTAGTCTCTGAGCCAATGCAGTTTTCTAGCATTACCAGCTACTTAACTGGGGGTCCGCAGAGTTTTTGGTTGCATGAGTCCAGGTCGATGAAGCTGGAAAAAAGACGGGGGGTTTGGCTTTATGTTTTTCTACTTTTGTTGATGGAAGCTCAAGTATTAAGACGTCTTTATGAGACAATATATGTGTTTAAGTATAGTCCCTCCGCGAGGATGCACATCTTTGGCTATATCACCGGGTTATAGTAAGATCTCCCGTTCTGCCTGTCCCTTTTCTTATTAATAGTTTTCTGATAAAAATCTTGTGTATTTGTTTAGAAACCTAAATTAATGGAGTAGGCTGTAATTTCCTTGCATGCAATGATCTTCATTGGGCGCGTCATGATGCTTTAGTGTTGTCGTATATGGTGGTATCAGAGAATTTATCAGCGGCCTATCATATCCTCATGAATGCATTGGCTTTTTTTTTGGAAACAATATCTCATAAAACCGTTATATTTAGTTGTTTGCACGTTTGAGAAAACCCGTGGCCAATCAGCGTGTCCTTCTAGTTTTATTTGCACTAGATATATCCGTTCCGTTGTTATTCTGTTTTTTTTTTCAAAAAAACGTATTTGACTTAATGCGGATTGTCTCTAAAAATCGTACATAGTTAATAAAGTTTGACTATAGGATATTTTCTCAATTGTCTTTTGTGATATCAGTTTTTATGCGGCTGCTCCATTATCACTTTGCTGTACTTACATGGACGAAGTGTTCCATTACGCCTTGAACTTGATTCAAGAGTTCATAGTTAAGGGAAAGGATCATATGCAAGTCACTGAAACTAATTGGTGGGGGTTCGTGAACCCTCTTCTAAAGCTCAAATGGCATGCTTGGTTCGGGGCAATTATTTTTCTGCTAGGATGGATTCATCAGCGTCGATGCCATGCCATTCTCGTAAGTTTAACTTAAAACTTTTTGTAATCGGGATTATATGGAATTCCGTGGCATCGATTCTGTGAAACATACTCACATCGATTTATCTTACAAAATAGAGCAATTCGAATTTTTATGTCCAAACCTGCATCTATCAAACTTTTTCTCTTAGCTTCTCAACATTGGTCTTTTTTTGTTGAAGTTTTATGTGCCCATTTCCATTTTTAGAACAATACCAAGGTTTGTAACATTGTTTACAAAGACTCTTCTTTTAAGGTAATATTATGGTTTGGGAAGAAGTTACGGAGCAGTCTTATAATTGCATTTCGTTAACAGGGTTTAGTGCGAGAGAAATCGGAAGGCAGTGATGATTATGTGATTCCTTACGGTGATTGGTTCAGATATGTTTCATGCCCTCATTACCTAGCTGAGATAGTATGTCTACTTTCCGTTTTTGTGCAAACCTTCTGCCTCTGAAATCTGTTTCCTTGTTTTTTCCTTTTATTCTTTTATCAGAAACATGATATCTGTAACAGTTGATAAAAAATTTCTTTTATGTTGAGTTTTCATGATATTGAAGGTGATATATGCTGGTATTCTGGTTGCTAGTGGATGCTCTGACATTACAGTGTGGTTGCTTTTTATCTTTGTCGTAAGACTTCCTTTCCCCTGGTTTCTTCTTGGTTATGAAAGTTAGTTCTCTTCAGGTCTTGTATCGATGTCAATGATTAATTTTCGCTTGAATCATTCTGATTTCAGGTGGCAAATCTTGTGTTTGCAGCAGCAGATACTCAACAATGGTATTTAAGAAAATTTGACAACTACCCTAGAGAGCGTTATGCTATAATTCCATGTATATATTAAGCCTGAAGGAATAACCCTTATGTTTTATGTCAATACCGATGTGTGGAAATGCAAATGAACTTAGATTTTGTAAAATGAAGCATAATATGACACTGTGGAGGTAAAATACCAGCATTTCAGATAAATGTAAATAGTTGTCTTTTTCTTTGTTTTTTTTGGGGGTAGTTCCAAGAAGTTTCTATTCATTCAGCAGTTATTCAATTGATGCACAGTGTAGCAAGTTCAACAACAAATTAAACCCCAATTGACTGTATATTCTGGCTTATTTGAAGTCCTAACTTTTTTTTGGTGAAACATCATCATTAATTTAAGACATTAATAAACACCCAACGGTGAACACACAACAGACATGATCCTGTCTTGTGATTCCAGTGTCTGGGTCGGAAATCTTCCTCCTACTATGTTGTTGACGTCGTCCACCAATTTTCAGGTTCCCGGTTTTATTTCCTCTATTTATATAATGCATCCAGATTCCTTTCAAAACATCAGATTGTGGATGTGGCATTTAGTAAACATTTAACAGCTCCTTCCAGCTACCTATTATGCTAGAAACTGGGATCAAATATCATGCTTCTAAAACATAAAATGTACTTTTCTGATTTGATTATTAGTATTAGTATTCACGCACACTAATGAAGATCAAATGGCAAATTGAAAAATCGAAATCCAATACAATGAATATGATTGAAAGTGGGGAGAGATCCAGTTTGTCTGATTCTATTAGCGATGTGTTCAACAAGGGCATTAATATTCTGCTCACCGTGCAGAAATAACTAATATGGATAACTTATAATAAGGTGTTGGCCTAATTACGTCCTGCTCACAATGTGCGTTGTCCTAATTCACATGCATCAACATTTTATCTATGATGTGTAGTACTACTGTACTACATAAGGATAACTTTGCTTTCTCTATGATTGACAAATCAAATGTGACATCAACCACTAATTAGACTGAGTGATTAGTTCTGTGATGCCCCCATTATGATGCGGCTACCGTCCAACGTAAAATAGGCGGATCCAGAGTGGGGCCCTTGGGGCCATGGTCCTGCTGGGCCCGCCCTGGACCCTATATATAGTACTATTTTTTAATCTTTTTTAAAAAAATTTCTACCTTTTCTTTTTCATTTACATTTTTACTATTACTTTATTCGAGTGTTCTGCTATGAATTAAAGAGCCGTTTGTTTAGGAGGAATCGGAATCGGGATTTGGATTCGGAATCGAATGAACCGTTTGGTTAATGGGATTCACCATTCCGGGGAATGTCTGATTCCAAAAGATCCAATCCCCCCCTCCCCCTATGGATTCGACTGAATCCCGGCTGCTGAATCTTTTCTATTTTTTTTCCTTATTCTCTCTTTCCTTCATCGGGTTATTTTCTCATCTTTATCCCTCTATTCCTTCACTCCCCTCTTCTCTCTCTCTCTCTCTCCTTTTTCTCTTCTTCATTGTTCCTTCATCACTAACAGATCAGTGAAGAGTTCAGCAAATCAAACCTTTGGCTTTTGTAAGCTCCCGCCATGACCCAAATTTCTTCCTACCCCCATGCCCCAAATTTTGTACCCTTGAAGTTTCATCAAAGATTCAACCCAATATTTTTTAGGTAAGTTCTTATGGGTCTTTCCTATCTTTGCTCTACTTTACCTTACCGTTCTTAGATCTACAATTTTTGTGCATGGATTAAGGTTTATCAATTTTAATTTGTGAAATAGGTTCTGATTAGAGGTTTTTTGTATTTTTGGTTGTTGCTGGTTTGAATTTTCATTTTTTTTTTTTTGGATTTAAGACCATAAGAACGAAAAAGATTGGATTTTGATCATAACATCTCTCTCTCACTCTCTTCTTTAATCAAGTCGGCCGGTTTACTGTGATGTGCTTTTGACCTTTGAGATATTTAAGGAAAATTGTACTGAATTGGACCAAATTTTGTCGCAATAAAAAACTTGATGGACGAAGAGTGTTGCAGCTGTTACTCATAAATAAAATCGACTCCTTTTAGATATGTTCGAAGTTTGCTGCTATGTTTTGTTATTGTTTGGATGTGTGTTCGAGTAACTAATATCTTTGGTCGACTTTTTCTAATTTTTTGGTTGCTTATACAATCTTATATGCTGCAGAGATCAAGTGTACCCCAGCATGGGTGTATTTATTTGTATCTAAAGGAGACTAATGCTAGACAATAACCTACGGTGAGTTACTACTTTCTTCTAATTTCCCTTACATTTTTTTTTCCATTGTCTCCGAAGTTGTATTTTCTTACCTTCCATTAGCTTATAATCTATTTGGTTTACAATTGAAAAGTGCTTTTTTCCTTTTAAACTATAGGAGATATGATTTTTGTTCAACTATTTGGAAGTACAAGTGATTCAACCCTTTTGACTTACATTTCATTTTCTTATAAATATAGATGGCACGGCTACCTTTGACAAGTAGAAGACGCATAGCTCAAATCTCCTTCATGTATTTGATTGTAATAATAGTAACTTTCATGATGTGGCTTGCCACTGCTCATGTTTACTTTAATCGGAAGATTCCTCAAGTACTTTCTAATAGAAAAATGGGGAAAAAGCGTAAGCATTAGCTCTTAAGACTTACAAAACATAGTGATGTTTATTGTATTAGTCAACTGCGTATGGATCGTCGGACATTTGGTATATTATGTGAACTGCTAAGAGATGTTGGGGGTTTAAAGAACACCAAAAATGCCTCTATAGAAGAAATTGTTGCTCAATTTGTGTACACTTTAGTTCATCATGAGAAAAATAGGACAATTGGGACTACATTTTATCGAAGTGGAGAAACAGTGAGCAGACACTTTCACCTTTGCCTAAAAACGGTCTTGCAGTTATCTGACATTCTTCTTAAAAAGCTTGAACCAATTCCTGATGATTGCCAAGATGAGAGGTGGAAACCTTTTAAGGTACTTATTTGAGATCAGAAAGTTTATTAGTTTCAAATTAATATCACTTTGGAAATACATATGATGTTATAAATTTTTTTTCGTATCTTATTTTCTATGCACAGGGATGTCTTGGTGCCTTAGATGGTACGTTCATTGCAGTAACTCCCCCGTCTAAAGAAAAGGGACGATATTGTACAAGAAAGGGAAGCACTGCGACTAAATTATTAGGTGTTTGTTGTCCAAATATGCAATTCATTTATGTCTTGTCTGGTTGGGAGGGATCTGCACATGATGGCCGTGTACTTCGAGATGCCATCCACAGGCCAAATGGTCTTAAAGTACCTTTATTCAATATTAAAGGTAATTATTACTTGGTGGATGCGGGATACTGCAATGCAGAGGGATTTTTGTCTCCTTTTAGAGGGCAAAGGTATCACCTAAAAGAATTTGATAATCACCGGCCAGAAACCGCAGAAGAGTATTTTAACATGAAACACTCAAAAGCAAGAAATGTTATAAAAAGATGCTTTGGTTTGCTCAAGGGGAGATGGAAAATACTTGCTTCACCTTCGTTTTTTGAAATTCGTACACAAGTACGAATAATTACAGCATGTTGTCTTCTTCATAACTTGATTAGAAGATACATGAGTTATGATCCACAGGAGTTAATTCCTAATGAAGAAGAAAGTGAAGATGAGGAAAGTCAGGATGAAGATGAAGTTGAGTACATTACAACCATTCAGCCGAGTGATAAATGGGCATCTTTTAGAAACAATTTAGCGAGTGGAATGTTCAATAACCGAAGACAACGAGCTAATGCTTAATAGTTGTTGAAGAGACTTCTTTTGGTGATGTAGGTTACCGAAGTAAGTTATTTTGTTGGTGATATTAGTCAACTATGTAACCTTACTTTGGTTATTATTTTGATATCTTAGTTCTTAACTTTGCTTAGTGGCATTTTTGTTGCTGTTGATCAAGTACGAAAATGGTGTATATTGGTATTATGTTTAACAATGACTATTGAAGTATTGTGAATATTTTGGTTAGACAAAGCAAGTTGTTTACTTCCATTGAAATAGGAATGTATATTTGGCAATGTAGTTTGCTTTTATGTATATTTACAAGTGTGTTTCTTTTGAAACTAGATTTATAAAAATATCCATTGTTAATATTTCAATGGAATTATTATTATAGTTTCTATTGATAAGAGTAAATAATAATGAAATATATTTACAAATATGATACTTGTAATACATGTAAAAATGTCTTCCGTTCAAACATGTCTAATACATTAAGAAAAACCATAAAATATTTGTGATAAGTTAGAAAAAAAAATGAAAAAAAAAATAAATTTTGTTATAAGGGTAAAAATGGAATTTCAATAGTTTCTTAATTCGAAGATTATATCAACCAAACAGCAGAAACCATTCCGAAACCATTCCAGACATTAAACCAAATAACATTATTGGATTTATGATTCCAGCATCATTCGAATCCATTCCGCCGTCATTCAAATCCGTTTCCAGATGACTAAACAACGGCTCCTAAGTTTTGTTGGATCCACATTACTTTCCGAATCGAAGTATAAATTTGTTTTTGGACTATTCCCGTTTTTTTAATTATCAAAAATTGAGTGTTTTGTATCATATTATTTATTTATTTATTTTTATAAATCGTTCCACCTTCTCCCATTCTCTCTGAAAAAACACAGAGTACCAAAGATGATCAGACCATTGTAGAAAGATGAAGACTCATCCCAAGAGTAAATTTAAGTTTGGAATAAAGTTCAAACAGTTTTTGTGGACATTGAGTTTTATTTTGTTGTTTCTTTGAAATGATATTGAGTTTAATTGTTACAACAGATATTACCCCCCTTCGCCCTAAAATAATGTATATTGTAAATTTATATTGATACTAAAAGTGAAAATCTAATTGAATAATTATTACAAAATGAAAAGAAAAATTCTTTGCTTTAACATTTTTATATTATGTTTAACCCCCTCTGTATTTTGATCCTAGATGCGTTACTATCACGTACGTATAGCGAAATGTATGTACTCCACCATAATGTACTAGAATGATACATCCTCCTTTGTCCCTCATATAAAAAATTAAAAAAATCGTATTTAATACACTAATACTTCCTCCGGTCCTTAATATAAGACATTTTGATTCGTCTTATGTTTCATCTAGTATGTATTTTTGATTAACAAAAGAACCTTAAAAATATATTTTCACATTCGTTGTGTTCTCTTGATTGTTATAAAATAGTTTTAAGATTTTTTCTCAATTAAAAATACATATTAGGCGAAATTTAAGAAAAGTCAAAATACCTTATAATAAGGATCGGAGGGAGTAACAGAATTCCTTGAGGGCATTTCGTGATGCAACTTTATGAGAACACCTAAAATTCAATTAGATCTTTAGTAACACCTAAATGTCATGTTTCATGTTATTCTTTTTAAACGTACGTTTGACATGTATTATAGTGTAAGTATAACTAATTATTTTATTTTTTTTAAAAAAAAGGTTAACAATACAGATTGTCACGCTAATGTAAAACTAAAAGTGTCGGAAAAAGACGATAGATAGCTTAAAGTCGTAGGTGGATTAGGTTATTTCCGGGGCATGATTAGTGATTACATGAGAAAATTAGGTCGTTGGGGTTGTTTGAGATATGCATGCAATCGCAAATTGGCACGGAGCTAGAGAAAATGCAGGTGTGTCACGATGCATATATGTTAAAATGGAGCCCAAAAGGCCATGTTCTTTCCTGGCTGCATGTGCTTTTGTTTCCACATCTTCTCTACCTCAGATTTCTAGGTATTGTGAGAGCTCAGCTTTAATTTGCACTTCTTTCTGAAATTTCTCAATCTCGTAGTACAATTATAATACATTAGATCGTGTCGTTTCTAAATGATGCGAACGGTTGATCGAATATGAGTGGCTATTTGATTGAAAATGATCGATTATTCAGTGGGGTTTTGATGATCGCACGTCCAAATTTAATGTCCAATCCTCCCATATGGTTTTGTAATCCTTTTATCTTCTTTAATAATAATGCTTCTTTTTTGCCGCTTTTTGTTACAAAAGTGCTTACCTTTTTGCATATGCATGTTGAAAGCTTCTTAATTCTGGTATATGTTTTGTCTTCATGCTAACATGAGTGTCACGATATGTCTACATTCTAGACACTAATTAAATAGTGCCTTCATTTTTTGTGTATTAAAAAAAATGATTTGATATGGCCATTTTTTTTCAAAATATTAAAATGAAAAGCATAATGGACTATACAGCCTTCCATTTTTTATTTATTTATTATTATTTTTTTTGGATTTCATGTTGACAGAGTAACGACCCCTTATTCTTTAGAGTATCTCACTAATCCGACCACTTTTTACTTTAAGTATGGCCCTCTCTTGTAATCAACAATAATTAGCATTACACGTTTATTATAACTAGCTTTTTTGGTCGCGCGTAATTCTTATATTTAATTATTTTTCATTTTTCATTTGGAGATATCATTTTGAGTTCTTGTATAAAATCTTGGTCGATAATCATCCACAGCTGTAGGAAATAATTAGAAAAAAAAATGAACCATCACCATATGTTTATTGAACACTAGATTTACACCATTGTCACCATCGGGAACCGAAAAAAAAAAATCAGGATCAGTTTTTCTTCCTTTCAATAAATTGACCATCACCACCATTGCATAGCAATTGGATTTCGACCCCAAAAAGATAATTGGATTTCGAAGGAATGGGGAAATGGAGGTGACAGAAGACTAGATTAACATTTGGGACGGGAAAAGATTTGTGGGGAAGGAAGGGATGGAGAGCGGCCGAAAATATTGGCAGTAAAAATGGGCACAAAAAATAACATTTTAATTGGTAACATCGGTAATAAACGTCGTTGTTTAGCCTGCCACATTAATTAGGTTATTTCTCTCGATTAATGACATATTTGGTTGGCGAAAAAAGAAAAATAACTTTATTAATTGACCATTACAGTCTTGTTTTAAATTGATGATGTCATGTTAATATATTAACCAATCAAATAGCTCAATTTAAAATTGATGATGTCACGTGAACTAAGGAGCCAATAAAAATGCTCAATATAATTTTTGACCAATCACATTCAAGATTCTAAACTCACCAAGAGACATTTACTTATGTACAGAAGATCGAAAATTCAAATGTCACCTATAATTATGTATCGCAACTTGTATCTTAATTTATGAGGGGTCTCATAAAATTTAATTGTGTCTGATAGAAGATTTACTCTGCCGTCATAATCAAGATATTGAATTCGAGCATGTATGTACTAGTAAGTAGTAAAAAACTAATAATAAGGGAAAATGTGGAGAGACTATGAAATTTCATAGTATAGTATTTCCTCTGTTCTTATAATAGTTCATCCACATTATAACTTGCAAATTGTACTACTAAAAATGATATATATAATTCATAATTTATAATGTGAATTATATTTATGAGAAGGAAAGTTAAATGATTTCTGTAAATTTATTATCCTCTGAATTTTATTTTATTTTTTGAGAAACTCCGAATGTGTTTAAATGAATAAGGCTTTACATACGGATCCCTGGGGTCTGCATCCGCCATGAACTTTATCTTTTCGATTTGTTTTTCCTTAAGGCGAAAAGAAAGAAAATAATCTGCATTAAATTAGTTGTGGCCAATCATGAGCAATGAAACATTTAACGGCTCCCGACACTTAATAAATTTGTCTGCAGGTTCGTGACATTTTCACAGGAGTTAACATGATTTAGAGGCTAAAAGAAAATACATAAAACCTGTAATTTAGTGGTGAAGGTGAATCCTACAGGCACTGAAACTCAACATTTAGTATACTTGTACAACAATTTTTGTTTTTAAATTACTGAAGACATGAGAATCGGAGATCCAAAACGGATTCCCCTAAATGTGCAGATACAGAGATACTAATATAGAAAAGGAAAATTCAATGTTGTACTGGTGAGGAAGATAGCCATAGGGGACAGAATCACAGAAAGATGCGGGCCTCGCCCATTCTACTTTTTTTTACATAATTACTTTTTTTAAAATATATATATATATATATATATATATATATATGAGGTTTTTTCCGCACTCATAATTAAGTTTTTTCAAAAGTAAATCTCGCACTTCTTCTATGTGGGCTTATAATGGATCTTAGATTCCTATTAACTTCACCTCTGCATTGTATGTTTGGATCGTTTTTTTTGGTGTGTGTTTTTAGATAGTACTCTCTACTCCCAAATAAGTGTAGTTTTCGCAAAATAAAGAAATTTCAAAATAAATGTCGTTTTCGAATTTCAATGCCTTTTTTGTCAAAAATTTCAAAACATATCCTCAAAAGAAATACTATTTTTTATCAAAAGGTAAAAATATATGATAAGATGGACATTTATTAACTAATCTGAAAAAACCATAAAAAATAGAAACAAACAAAGTTATTCTTCAAATTGAGCTTTAGAGGTTCGATTGTATTGTTTGTTCTTTATCTATTTTCTAAATATAATTTCTCTTGTTTCTGAATTAATAAGGGGGAACTTCTACGTGGGTTGATGGACACCCGATTCAATGGGTATGATGGACGTTTGTGGCCTTTGGTAAGCAACAAATTGTATCGAGACGTCGACGCCGTCCACTCCTTCGCAAGGAAATTTGTCGAGAAGGAAAACCCTATTTGTGTTCCACTGGGCGTGTCACTTGACGATACATGGATCTGCATCAACGTCTCCGGTTGGTTGAACCGGCGGCCATGGCGGAGTCAAAACCTAAAACCTGCAAAAGAGGGCCTCGGGGTCTCCCGAGGGTAGACACTCCGATACTTAAGTCAGTAAGAGTAGTTGTAATAGGGTATGAATTGTGATGCGTAGAGCGTACCTTTAATCGTGAAGGGTTGATCCCTATTTATAGAGTTAGGTTATGAAACCTTTTCTTAGTAGGAAAGTAATTGACAGCCGCCCTAGAAGTTTCCATGGGCCGGTTGGACCTTTTACCGAACTTGACCCGGCCTAGTCACGGGCCGTGCTAATTTGGACTCGTCAGGTTGATCCACCGGCCACCGTAGAATAAAATTAAAAAAAAAAAAAACTGTGGAAGATTTTCAAAGTCATGAGCAGCTGCAAGTTTATCATGTT